CTCCCAGTAAAGATCTGCCTGTCCCCTCCCAGTAAAGATCTGCTTGTCCCCTCCCAGTAAAGATCTGCCTGTCCCCTCCCAGTAAAGATCTGCCTGTCCCCTCCCAGCAAAGGTTTCAAATATGGCAGCCGTTGGGGCCATCTTGGGCCATGCTTCCATTGCCCAGGGTTTTTCAGAAAGGAATGTGCAGACTTGGTCACTAGTGTAAAAGATTGATGGAAACCCGGTGGGGAGCTAGTAGATTTTGAAGAAGCAGAAACTGCCTGTCCAGATGTCCTTTTGCCTGTCCTCAGGTGGGCAGGTGCCCCGATGAGACATCCCCCACCCCTGGTTTTCCTCTGGAAGCTTTTCCTCAAATGGTATGCATCCCCTTTTTTCCCACCAAATGTGTTTTTCCTTAAGTTTGCTAGTTTATCAACTTCTTTTCTTTTTGCAGAATCCTAAGTCGTCAGACTCTGTGCAGCTCTTTGCTTTGTTGTCGCTGGGAGAAATTGGTCGACATGTGTAAGTGTTCTCTGTGTTTCGTTTTTAAATCTTTGGTATTCAGCTGGGTTGGTATTTCAGAGAGGCAAGGTCATTGCATGGAAGTCAGCATATGGCAGTGCTATTAGGAAAGACCCCATGTGTGCGCGTATTGCTGTCCCTACATGACCTCTTGCGTGCCTCATTTCGGGCGCGTGCTGTTGGAATACCGAACTGGCCAGGAGAAGCATTTTACACGTGTTGGTGTTAATTGTCCCTGTTTTTGTCGTTTACAGTGATTTGAGTGGTCATCCAGAATTGCAGAAGGTCATTGTGGATTCCTTCTCTGCCCCTAGTGAAGAGGTCAAGACGGCTGCCTCATTTGCTCTAGGTAATGCTGATATTGTGTTATTCTTAGAGACTCACTGTAGGCTTAGAGGAGTCGAAAACAATTCATTTTTAAGATGTACTAAATGGAGCACAGTAGTGATGTATGCCTGTGGAAAGATAGCCGTCAGGGCCTATCATTGGAAGCTAGTACTGTCGAAAGATAACTGTCAGGGCCTACCAGTCGAAGATAGTACTATGGAAAGATTACTGTCAAGGCCCATCATTGAAAGATAATGCCATGGAAAGATTACTGTCAGGGCCTATCATTGAAAGATAGTACAGTGGAAAGATTACTGTCAGGGCCCATCATTGAAAGATAGTACAGTGGAAAGATAGCTGTCAGGGCCTACCATTGGAAGATAGTACTGTGGAAAGATTACTGTCAAGGCCTACCATTGAAAGATAGTACTGTGGAAAGATAGCTGTCAGGGCCCATCATTGAAAGATAGTACTGTGGAAAGATAACTGTCAGGGCCTACCATTGGAAGATAGTACTGTGGAAAGATTACTGTCAGGGCCCATCATTGAAAGATAGTACTGTGGAAAGATAGCTGTCAGGGCCTACCATTGGAAGATAGTACTGTGGAAAGATTACTGTCAGGGCCTACCATTGGAAGATAGTTCTGTGGAAAGATAGCTGTCAGGGCCTTCCATTGGAAGATAGTACTGTCGAAAGATTACTGTCAGGGCCTACCATTGGAAAATAGTACTGTGGAAAGATAGCTGTCTGGGCCTATCATTTGAAGATAGTTCTGTGGAAAGATAGCTGTCTGGGGCTAATATGGGAAGATACCGTCACTGCAGCATGTAGCAGAGGGAGACAATGCAGTGATATCCTGCCTTTAGAAGTATGCTTCTGTAACATTCATTTGTTGATTATTGTCTATTCATTTGATTTACCTCTCACTTTTTTAATTCATTCAACAAAATAAAGGGGGTAGGGGGTTTTCTTTTCTGTTTGTTTTGAAATCCAGGCAACGTGAGCGTTGGCAATTTGCCTCAGTATTTGCCTTTTGTTCTTGATGAGATTGAGAATCAACCCAAGAGACAGTATCTCTTGCTACACTCATTGAAAGAGGTAAGCTGAGAACCTGCATAATGGTGAACATTGGAAGGTTGACTCATACTGGCCCAAGGGCTTAAAGCATTACAACGTTGAACGTATCTAAAGAGAGTCTGTTATTAAAAGTGGAACCCATAGAAATTCAGCATTTATTTTGTCAGGTTATAGAGGTTAAGCATTACTGGCATCTTCATGGTGTCAGGTTATAGAGGTTAAGCATTACTGGCATCTTCATGGTATCTCAGAGGCTGTTTCGATTATTTTAATTTAGTTACAATGAATGCACAAAAGGTTTCCTTGAGCCTATCCCAATGAGTATAACTCTAGCCCTCTAATAATGCATTAATACATTACCTCCATTAACCACATGCTGGTGGGTGCTTTTAAAAATGCAGTGCACACATAACGGGTGATTTTGAAGATTTTCAGTTTTCAAAATCTTCAAAAATTTATCATTTCATTTAATGGACGTTTACACCCACACAAATGACTGTTTGGTGGCTACTCTAAGCTGACAGGTAACCTTCATTGACTCCTGAATATTTCAGCCAGGCCTGCCGCCCTGTAAAGAGAGCCTAGAATCGTGAGGTGTTGTGTAATTTCCTTTGTCCAGTGAATGCGAGTGGCATCTTTTCAAATGCAGTTGGAATAGTGTGCAGCAGCGCTGTGTCGCTCATCAATGGGAGCCCTGGAGCACTTTTGTTTGTGGTGCTAATCCGCGGGCGCACTATGCCCAAAACAGTGGTATACTGTTTAAAAACAGTGACAGATCACCTTCGAAAAATGCAAGCTGTAAACTGATGGCAATTCCCAGCAGTAGGTCTTTTGTTCCGAGTACGGTCTTTTGTTACACGGACCTGCTCTTTTGTCCCATTTTTGGCACCCTGGCTCTGCGTATAAACCCATGGTGCTCGAAACGGGGTTCCCCGGCAGCAAGAGGTTAACACATAAGAAACCTCTTATGCATACACAGTAGCACTGACTCTTTAAAACCAAAGATTGGGTATTGAGAACCAAAAATCCTTTGTCCTCCTTTTGTTTGTCTCGTTGATAGTAGTCACTTGTTACTTGAGTGCACTACAAGGCTGTTGTACAAGAAGTAGGTATCTAGAAGTGAGCCGTATTTAACTTTCTGAATGAAACTGTTGAATGAAGTAATGATATCACTTTGAAACATTTTAAAACAAAAAGTTGTAATTCGATCAAGCAAAATGAGTCGTTTGTTGACTGGTGCCAATTTGTTGAGTTGACCATCGCAAGATCAGTCACAAGACCAGTTACAAGGCCAGTCACAAGACCAGTCACAAGGCCAGTCACAAGACCAGTCACAAGGCCAGTCATACGTCCTGTCACAAGGCCAGTCATACGTCCTGTCACAAGACCAGGAACAAGTAACAGTGAAGAATGACATAGGAATGCTTTATTGCACGTAATATATAGCTTGTGACTTGAATTCAGACTGGAAANCCATTGGAAGCTAGTACTGTGGAAAGATTACTGTCAGGGCCTTCCATTCAAAGATAGTACTGTGGAAAGATTACTGTCAGGGCCTATCATTGAAAGATAGTACAGTGGAAAGATAACTGTCAGGGCCTATCATTGGAAGATAATGCCATGGAAAGATTACTGTCAGGGCCCATCATTGGAAGATAGTACTGTGGAAAGATTACTGTCAGGGCCTATCATTGGAAGATAGTACTGTGGAAAGATAACTGTCTGGGGCTAATATGGGAAGATACCGTCACTGCAGCATGTAGCAGAGAGAGACAATGCAGTGATATCCTGCCTTTAGAAGTATGCTTCTGTAAGATTCATTTAAGACTTGAGGCTATGCATGGCGAAAGTACTAACTATGTGAAGTTTGCGGTGACACCATCTAATCAAATTCTCTCTTTGAGTGTGTGTGGCTCTGAAAAGAACCTGGGTTCACTCGACGTTTCTTTCTCTTTCTCCTGAAGACGAACAGAGCACACTGTTCGAAACGTCGAGTGAACCCCGGTTCTTTTCAGAACCACACACACTCAAAGAGAGAATTTGATTACATGGTGTCACCGCAAACTTCACATAGTAAGACTCATTTGTTGATTATTATCTATTCATTTGATTTACCTCTCACTTTTTTAATTCATTCAACAAAATAAAGGGGGTAGGGGGTTTTCTTTTCTGTTTGTTTTGAAATCCAGGCAACGTGAGCGTTGGCAATTTGCCTCAGTATTTGCCTTTTGTTCTTGATGAGATTGAGAATCAACCCAAGAGACAGTATCTCTTGCTACACTCATTGAAAGAGGTAAGCTAAGAACCTGCCTAATGTTGAACATTGGAAGGTTGACGCATGCTGGCCCAAAGGCTTAAAGCATTACAATGTATGTACAGAGAGTCTGATATTAAGAGTGGAACCCATAGAAATTCAGCATTTATTTGGTCAGGTTATCGACGTTAAGCATTACTGGCATCTTCATGGTGTCTCAGAGGATGTTTTGGTTATTTTAATTTAGTTACAATGAATGCACGAAAGATTTCCTTGAGCCTATCCCAATGAGTATAACTCTAGCCCTCTAAGAATGCATTAATGCATTACCTCCATTAACCAAAGGGTGCTGGGTGCTTTTAAAAATGCAGTGCACACATACAGGTGATTTTGAATATTTCCAGTTTTCAAAATCTTCAACAATTTATCATTTCATTTAATGGACATTTACACCCACACAAATGACTGTTTTGTGGCTACTCTAAGCTGACAGGTGTAACCTTCATTGACTCCTGAATATTTCAGCCAGGCCTGCCGCCCTGTAAAGAGAGCCCAGAATTGTGAGGTGTTGCGTAATTTCCTTTGTCCCAGTGAATGCGAGTGGCATCTTTTCGAACACGGCTGGATTAGCATGCAGCGGTGCTGTGTCGCTCATCAATGGGGCCCTGGAGCACTTTTGTCTGCGGTGCTAATCCGTGGGTGCGCACGCTATGCCCGAAACAACGGTATACTGTTTAAAAACAGTGACAGATCACCTTCGAAAAATGCAAGCTGTAAACTGATGGCAGTTCCCAGCAGCAGGTCTTTTGTTCCGAGTACGGTCTTTTGTCACACGGACCAGCTCTTTTGTCCCATTTTTGGCACCCTGGCTCTGCGCATAAACCCATGGTGCTCGAAACGGGGTTCCCCGGCTGCAAGAGGTTAACACATAAGAAACCTCTTATGCATACACAGTAGCACTGACTCTTTAAAACCAAAGATTGAGTATTGAGAACCAAAAATCCTTTGTCCTCCTTGTGTTTGTCTCGTTGATAGTAGTCACTTATTACTTGAGTGCACTACAAGGCTGTCGTACAAGAAGTAGGTATCTAGAAGTGAGCCGTATTTAACTTTCTGAATGAAACTGTTGAATGAAATAATGATATTACCTCGAAACCTTTTAAGACAATTAAAGAGTTGTAATTCGATCAAGCAAAATGAGTCGTTTGTTGACTGGTGCCAATTTGTTGAGATGACCATTACAAGGCCAGTCACAAGGCCAGGAACAAGTAACGGTGAACAATAACATAGGAATGCTTTATTGCACGTAATATATAGCTTGTGANCCTTGTGCTGGTCTTGTGGGGTCTTGTGATGGTCTCAAGAGATCTCAACAACACTGGAGCACATGTTAAATCTCTCTATGTTCCTGTTAGATCATTGCATGCCAGAGCATCACCCCTACCGCAGTGGACCACCTCAAACCATTTGTTGGCAGCATTTGGTAAGTTCAGAAATAGTTTTGCATTTGTTTTTTGCGTTTATCCAGTTTCCAGTATGAAGGGGTTGAAGATTTGTTAGAACAATCAAGACAATATGCAAGGCCCAAGTAAGCCCTATAACTATCCCCAAATCTCTGACAATGTTGTCATTTTGGTTGTTTCATTCATTGGTTAACACAAAAACAAAAAAGTCAAAGACATAGTTTGTGTTGTAGTGTAAACGACTGGTTTTACACTTGCAAATGATTATTTGAACTGCAGTCACTACTCAGAGTGAACTTACTAATCCATAAAAATGCTTCCAGTGACATGAAGACCAAATTGTTGAATTTCTAGGACCATGCTGTTCAAGCATTGTGAGTGCTCCGAAGAAGGGACTAGGAATGTAGTCGCTGAGTGCCTTGGTAAGCTGACGCTCATCGATCCGCAGACATTACTTCCTCAACTCAAGGTAGGTATACGTAGTACTCACTGTCCATTTGTAACTCACTCTCACCTGTCCTGAACTCATTTTGAGACTGATCATCCTCACCCAGCTTGTTTTATTGGAATGAAATGTCTAGTCATTGACGTCTTTGTAGATCCAAACTTTTTTCTGAACTAGCAGTGGTTTTACATTACATATTTTACCCAAAAGTGGGAGTAAAAAGAGAAAATTTGAGGATTTAATACCCTCAATTGCAATTATTACTCTCAAAGGCATTTTGTAAATGCTTCATTTAAGCACATTGTCCTTGGTTAAGTGACCAAGAGTAAACACAGTATTCCATTGTGGTGGTGTCGACTCATGTAATGCTATATATTCACCAGAAATATGACAGCATACCACCTATTAGAATCAGTTTTTGAATTCTTTTGACTTGTCAACAGTGTTTTTTTTTTACATTTTGTTGCAATTTTGAAAGAAAACAAGACCAAACCAATGTTGAGTCGAAACATTTGTTTGTCCAACTGCAGGAGTGTCTGTCCTCAGAATCTGCATTCACCAGGAGCACTGTGGTGACTGCTGTGAAATTCACTATATCTGACCAGGTAGGAGACGGTAACAATGCATTTGTAAAGCCAACTGGTGTGGACTATGTCTCCAAAGAATACCTGCTGTGCATTGCCCAGTCGTTGGGATACAAAGGTGTTTAATGTGTGCAAATGAAATAAATCTCAAATGCACAGTAGCAGTATGAGAGCTGCAGGCGAATTAATGAAACGTGGCGTAACTTCCAACTGTGCCAAGCCTCGCACCACAAATTTATGCTTAAGCTGCGCAATATACTCACGTTCAATTTTACTACAAGTTGCATAGCTCCACCACGTTTTAATAACATTAAATTGCTTGGATGAGGACCTAAAACGGCTTTGACTACGGCTGTTTCTGTCCAATATAATATCAGTCATCAAACAGCTGTCGAATCACCTCCGCCCACCATTTTAAAAATGCTTCTGTCTTTTCTTTGTTGGAACCGTTCAGAAAATCTCGCAGTTCTCTCACAGCCAAACATGTTTTTCTTTACCTTCCACAACAAAGTTGTACGTTTCTTGTATACACTTTGTTAAGTTCAGCAATGATGAGGCTTGACCAAACAGGATAAGCTAGTCAACTCGTTCATTTTCACTTTGTTTGGTGCAACTTTAGCCACCTAAACTGACTGCATAAGTTCCGCCATAATTTGTTGCGTAAGTTTCATGAAATCAGTCTTAATTTGTAGCCCAGCTTACATAATAGCAGGCATGGCAGGTGGCATAAGTGTCATGAAATTGGCTGCTGGTCCATTGGTCCTGCTATGTTATTTCCATGACATAATTTATTTCTAGATGAAGTACTGTGTACATGATGGGTAGGTCATTTGGGACTCCACATCTACAGGTTGTTATTTCCCAACTGCCTAGCATGCAAACATTGTTTGCCCAACTTCTTTCCTGCCGTGTGAGATTCAGTCAGTGACTAGAGCTGTCACCTCGGCACTTGACGGTGACTGTAAGTCACACGATGGAACTTTCTTCCTTGCGCAGAGTCAGCCCATTGACCCCCTTCTCAAGAGTTGCATCCAAGATTTCTTGAGGACCATGGAAGATCCCGATCTGAACGTTCGCCGGGTGTCTCTGGTCACGTTCAACTCGGCGGCACACAATAAGCCATCGTTAATACGAGACCTGCTGGATCAGATATTGCCGAATCTCTACAACGAAACTAAAGTCAGGGTGAGTCTGTTGTCTACAGATACATGGACAGTCATTGACACTGCACAAATAAATACTGAAAGTAGTTACTTGAAAAAGATATCAACTCTCCTGCTTCTCATTACAAGTTGTGAAGTGAGGTTTAACCAGGCTGTAGGCTTATCATTAACTTCGCCCATCAGTGACACTGTCTCCTGATGTTGGACCGGCCATATTACTGCAATGCCAATGGGTGAAGACACCAGACCATGACATGACAAATGGCACTTTATCATTGACAGTCCATGCCCTACGTAGTATCACCCATTGTAAAGCCTCGTAGTTGAGGCACGTGACTCATGATCAGAGGGTTAGGGGTTCGAATTTGGCTGCTGGCGATGTGGCCTTTGGCAAGCCATTTCACCCTTTACCTCTTTGTGCCCGATGGTATAATCTATGATGTAGCCTGTGATGGACCGGCATGTTATAGGGGGGTAGAAATATGGTACTTGGCAGTTGAAAGTGAACATTGTGAATGGGAAGGGGGAATGTTGTTCAAAAAAATTAGTTCATATTAACATTTACATGTCGCAAGGTGTGAAACTATTTCCACACTTGTGTGAAAAGGGTTGAATCTGTTTTCTTACGGTGTGAAAATGCGTGGAAATGTTTTTCCACTGATGTGGAAAGGAAGTCAGAGTAGTGGTCCGATGAGCAGCATTGGCTGGGGACAGGCATTGCTTTATACAAGCTGCCATCCATCACTGCTGTTTTCAGAAACAAACAAGTTATCAAGTTTTCATCAGCAACAATATGTGTGCAGCATATAGTGTGCACAGAAGGATTTATGGGAGTTTTACGCCGTCAGACCAAGATAAGAGGGCTTCTTAAATCAGAGCAAAAGAAGCGTTCATTGACTTCAGGAAACACCTTGAATGATGGGCTGTCTGTTACGACAAGCTGTATCCCTTGGTGATAGTATTCTCTAGTGCCACCAACAGCACCTTGCTAGAGATGGAAAAACGTGGTTCTTTGGAATTACTGATGATCTTGATGAAGTTTGTAGCCTAAGTTTTCAGGACTAATATGCAGTAATTACAAGCTTTGCCTATAATTTTGAGCACTTGTTAAGAAACAAATTGTATTTAGTACTGCACTGCAAAAGTAAATATCTGCCGAATGTGCACTTAGCTCAAATGTTGGCTGTTCGTTTTTTAAATTTGCCTCCTTGAATGCTGGTTATTTTTCAGCAATCTGTAGCAACGGCATTCTACCCCAAATCACAATGTATTGAAACCCTGCCCCAGTACCTTCAAATGCAGAAGCATGAGATTTAGAGTGCTTCTTTGGACCATTAGAAGTATCAGTTATCTGTGTGCTGTCATGGCTATTTGACACTTTAGCTTCTACTGTTTTAACTTTCCTCCGTAATGTCAAGTGATTTAGCACAAAAACTGTCAATGAAACAAAACCAGAAGGAAATCATGATAAGAATATTCTTGAGAAACTAAAAGGGTTGATTCACTAAGCATTCATTCTCCTTTTCATGGTCTTCTGTGTTCAGTTCAACTTTTACCGTCGATTTGTTTTTACAGAAAGAGTTGATTCGGGAAGTAGAAATGGGTCCTTTCAAACATACAGTGGATGATGGCTTGGACATCAGAAAGGTTTGTCCTACGTGTAGTTTGCCAATGGCAACCTTAGTAGTGGTCATGTATGAAATTCATTTGCTAAATGTTTCCTAACATGGTGGTAATGGACCATGTGAGACAGTGACCAAAACCAGGCAGGCTAATTTGGCGAGATACATAGTTCTGAATGATTCACAAAAAATTACAATATCTAGTTTGGATTGGCTGGAATCTTTGTGAACACAAAAAATTGGCACAAGCACCGTGTTAATACTAAAGTTAATGACAGATTAAACTGAGAGTTTTGTGAGATGAGGCTTGATGATTGTATGATGAGGTTTGTTTCCACAGGCGGCCTTTGAGTGCATGTATACCCTGCTAGACTCCTGTCTGGATAGACTCGACATCTTTGAATTCCTCAACCACCTAGAGGATGGTTTGAAGGATCATTATGATGTCAAGGTGAGAGGAGGATCAGTCCCGGTCTCATTTTTCAGGATAAAATGCTTGGTCAGGGCCCAATTTCATGGCGCTGTTTACCGCAGAATTTCGTGCTTACGATCCCCATTCTGCGCTAACCATGCTAGCAGAAAAATTCTGCGCTGACCTTTTAAGCGCAGAATCCTTAGTTACAGGATGTACGCATGTGCAGAGGCCAAAGGTCCTCGCTAACCCGTGAAATACGTTCGCCGTAAGCACAGAATTTTCTACTACGGTAAGGGCCAATTTTTCACTTGCTGTAAGCAGCGCCATGAAATTTGGCCCAGGACTTATGATGTTAATGTGCAAGTGTCATACTTGTTAGCAGTTCATGTCATGACGAAGAGCTGCATGGAAGCATTTTTTTTAAAAAAAGCAAAATTGGTAACATTGTGTCATGAAATCACTTAAAGAGCAGGGGCCAATTTCATAGAGCTGCTCAAGCACAACATTTGCTTAAGCATAAAAACCTTGCTTAAAAACAAAGGTTACCAGCTCATAATCTATGTGATTGTCATGTTAACCAAAAGACAGGTGAATACCATTCCAAAACAATATACATCACGCGGAGTTTTGGCTGGTAACCTGATTTGTCAAGCAAGTTTTTTTCACGCTTAAGCAAATTTTGTGCTTAAGCAGCTCTATGAAATTGGCCCCTGATGAGAAGGGACAGTTTGCTGCTTATCGGAAGCATTGATAAAAGAACAAAAATGTGAGATCAGTAAGATTGTGTATTGGAAAATTAGCCCACTGAGCAGCGAATATATATGGTGGATCACGTACCTCTGTTTAGGAGCTAAAACCATCAGAAAAAAATGCTTACTGTGTTTGAAAATGTTGAGGTGAATCTTAAAGGTACTTTCATTTTGATTTAAGTGTTGCACTTTGTTTTGGCTCTGCATTGCAGATGTTGACGTACTTGATGTTAGTGAGACTGTCAACGTTGTGCCCACCCGCGATTCTGCAACGTAAGTAGCACAACTTGCTACTGACTACCTTCAGCATTTGCCAAGATCAAACTGTTGACTTGTGTCGCATGTCTGGATAGCTCTCACCAGTCACTTCAGCACTTGTGCATTAGTGGTCTATCCTTGGTTCTTGCTTGCCATGGGTAGTGGTCTGTCCCACCACATGGTGCAACTGCTCTGTGTGTGAGTCCTTGTCATAGGAGCCTCACAGGTCTTACATTTGTGCTCATTTCATTGAAATTTTCAATATTTTGAAATGAACTACCTTTACCTGTTATCCAAAACTGAATGAAAAGCTAAAGAACGGGTGATGAGTTTCACTTTTGAATGTGTGCAGTTTCCATTTAATGGCAGGTTCAACTTCACTGTTGGATGTAACAAGCAGCGTCAAAATGGACTCATTTTAAATCATGGTGTGTCCTTTGTTCAAGAAATTGTCAACAGTTCAGAAAATATGCCAATGATGGTTATCTTTTTGTAGTTTATGGTGGTATTCCCATGAGTTTGTTTCTGCCTACAATCTTACAGGTCTGGACAGATTAATTGAGCCATTAAGGAACACCTGTACAACCAAGGTTAAGGCCAATTCGGTCAAGCAGGAGTTTGAGAAGCAAGATGAATTGAAGCGGTCAGCCATGCGGGCTGTAGCCTCCCTGCTCAGCATCCCAGACAGCGGTGAGTTGACCTCAACAAGCGACACTCGCACACTGCCTAGTTTGCTGATGTGCTCAATTGCAACTAATCTCTTGTTTGCTAATTTTATCTGTTGAAAGTTTTTGGGTAGTTTCATATGTGTAACTTGAGAGGAATTTGTTACTTGAATTGGAGAATGCAGGAAACAAATGTAGGAATGTGAAGCAGATGTAAGATGGTCACTGTAAGAAGAGCAAACCTTTGTAAAGAATAGACATACTTCAGGAACATCTTTCAGCCCCGTTATTGGCCATCTTAGGCTAGGACATTGGCAACTTGGTTTAATATAAGGATTTGTGCTGTCAGGTCAGGTTAGGTAAAGTGATCTTGTACCAACTTGCCAGCACAGCTTTTCATATTACAAGAATCTGATTCTGGTTCAACTCTTAATTAGTGTCATTTTGTAGTATAAATTCCACCTGATATACAGTACTTTGGATTAACCATATGCTGCCAAATTTAATTAGAATGACAAGTTCCCGGGGGATTTTCAAGTTTTTCTGTTTTCAAAATTCGTCGAAAATTCATAACTTCATTTACTGGATGTTTACACCCGCACGAATAGCTGTCTGTTGGTTACTCTAATCTGACAGGCAATATCTATTGACGCCCAAGTATTTCAGCCAAGCCTACTGCCTTGTAAATAGAGCCCAGATTGTGTGTTGTTGCATAATTTCCTTTGTTCCCGAAATTTGTCCAGTACACAGCTGGCATCTTTTCAAATGAGGCCAGATTAGCGTGCAGCGGTATTGTATCGCTCATCCCTGGAGCGCTTTTGTCCCTGGTGGTAATCCCCTTTCCCTGAATGCCACAAATAGAGGTATACTGTTTCAAAACTATGACGGACTACCTGCGCCATTGACAACTGAAGAAATGTTGGTAATTCCCAGCAGCTCGGTCTTTTGTTTAAAGGCCCAGCTCCTTTGTCCAATTTCAGGCATCCCCCGGCTATGCATATAAACCTAAGGTCTCCAGTATCAGAAACCCCGGCACAAAGTGGTTAACCATCTTATTAGTGTGATCAGGGGTTTTCTATGTCTGCAACCTTGTCTCTTTGTGTTAGAAGCTATGACTGGAGGGAAAGCAGTCATCAGGAAATTGTTAGCTTATCCATTGTCAATTTATCAATCAATCAAATCGTCAAATCCAGTCCTCCAAGCCAATCATGTCAGACAAACCAATCTATTACCATATTGTAATTCGGTCGTGGCTTCGTTTGATTGGTCTTTTAGCTTTGGAAATCTTATACAAACAGTTGAATCCATCAGTCAACTTTAACCCTAACATTCCTCAATTCTTCACCTGTTGGAGGACTGAGGACTGTTAGGGTTAATCAGTTGTACTGTTCTTATTATCAGTATTATTGAAATGGATATGAATGACATTGCCTTGCCTTTCAACAGCAATTTTTGTATTCCACTATCAATCGAATGCGTCACTCATTACAGACAAGAATCCTCAGCTGACGGAGTTTGTGGCTCAGATCCGCTGCAACCCTGAGATGTGCAGCATGTTTGACAGCATTCAGAAGGACAGCTCCCTGACCAGCGCAGATTCCCTGATGGATACCAGCTGAATTATGCTTTGAAAGCATCAGACTCCCTGATGGATACCAGCTGAATTATGCTTTGAAAGCATCAGAGTCTGCTTGCAGTGCTCGCTTCTGCATCTCCCTCGACAAATGTAATATACCTTTTTTCTCTAAGATACCCTGAGAATTTACCAGTGTTGCTGATATCAACAGCAAGACCTAGGAAATCAGGATTTGTCCGTCAGACAGTGTCATAATTTTAAGGACTAAAACGTAACAGGAGTAAGTCAGATTTCAACTCGTGTGCATATTTTGACAATACAACCCAAAACGTGATCTGTACTGAAGTACAGTTGAGTGTTGATACCTGTAGCAAACACAATGGGGCTCATAAAAGAAACTAACCTTCAGGGTACCATGTCAATATATACAGACTTTAAGGTGGTTGCCCAGTTCATGTTAACACTGACAGTTTTTTTATTTGAGGCTTTCTGTGCACCTGCTGCCGACATGGCTGTAATATTGTTAAAGAAAGTAGAGAGCGCTCAGAAAATCCCATTGGATTAGCAACATTTGCTAAGACTGAACAGACCATGTGCTAATTCACCCTGGGTTTGTCTTGTCAGCAGTGCTCATACATAATCAATGACCCTGAATATAGAGTGGCATTCCGTTTACCGTGTTCTGTATTTATGCTTGAGAATGCATTCTCATGGAATTACTGGTGCTTTGCAGTTGCTTGACATGAATTGTGTACACATAATTTTCCAGGGCAAGGGGGGGATTTTAATTGTAACCTATTGTTCGTTGTAGTGGTATCCATCTTTGACACATTATGCTGGATTGGGAGGTAACACTTAGTGCTTAACCCGTCCAATTACACTAGTGCGACTGATACGCGTAACTTGTAAAACACTGATTTAACCCTAAAAGTCCTCAGTCCTCCAACAGGTGAAGGATTAAGGAGTGTTAGGGTTAAGGATCAAACTCACCACTGATGGATGGCCAAATTTTCAAGATTAAAATCTGAATTGTATCACTATAATTATAATTGGTAACTCAACCATACATAAATTGAGGTTGACGCTGACCCTCAGGTTGATGTAAAAAGCTACATTGCATAAGGAAGATGGAGATGTTCTTGTATTTGCTTTTGGCTCACGATAGAGCTGAATAGATCCACGACTTACATAGCCCTTTCACCGTTAATATACTAGATCTAATATGGACAGAAATTTGTAATCGCATTTTAAATGTGAGAACACGTAGACATTTCTGTTTTCTGAAAGACATGAATTTTTGGTGCAGAGCATAATCAACTATTATAGTTAATTGACAGAAGAGGACGTACATGAAAGATTAGCAAGTTAACTTTTATTTAAGAACCCTCTGCTTTTTATGCAAAATACTAATGTTTACTTAACCCTGACACTCCTCAGTCCTCCAACAGGTGAAGGATTGAGGAGGGTTAGGGTTAAAAAAGTCAGAGTAGACATTTTGCAGGTGTTTTTTTTTGGGGGGGAGAGGGTTAGTTCTCTGTATGTCAGGTGATCTAAGCCATCATTTGGTTGAACCGTAGAATGTATTATATTTAGTCCATTTGGGCATGTGTCCACACCATGAAACTAAAGGAAGCTTTATCCCATGGCTGGCACGTACATGCGGTCCATGTGTATGATCACCAGTCGTGTATTGTCCGACACCTACATTACCCTCGTAAAGCATTATTGTACAAACATTGAGTAGCAGGGGAAGGACTTGTTCTCAAGTTTTTGCCAGTGACAGAACACCTGGTTTGTGGGTACAAGAATGGAGCACATGCAATTGGGCATGCACATTTGCAGAGCTGCTGAACAAGAAACCTGTGCTTGCAACAGAAAGAGTAAGGGTTACTGGAAGATGTTCATTGAAAGTGAAATAGTCCCTAGTTGATGTCCAGTGAAGATTCCTTATTTCTGTCATTTTGATTACATTGCCTTGATGATTCAAATTATTCGTGGCGACCATTTCACTTTACTTGAGACAGTCCCGTTACTCTGTTGCTCGTTAAGGGGATGCACAAACATGCATTCATTTTCACTCAAACGTACCTGCGCTTTGAGGGGCATGTCCACATCAGAAACTGTGACACAACTTTGTGGCAATTTTAACACCAGCTCGCTATGTGCATAGAACAACCAGGCAGCTGTACTGGAAATTCTATGTCACAATAACCATAGTGTCACCCTCATAAATCTTTCTGGCTATGTTAACATTAGCAAAGTGTTCCGGCAAGTATTATGAATAATGATGCATACTAAGTCATTAAAGATCCTGATGTTCAGCTAAACTTGTACATAATTAACAGTTTGACTTTCCACTGAAGGTTTAAGAGTCTGGTGGGTGTTTTGCCAGAACTCCAGTGATAAACATTCAATTTAATTTTAAACCTGTTGGTAATTAAGCAACCCCTCTTTCTTGTGAGGTGAAGTAGTTAATTTGTTGGCAAGTTATCTGACAGCAACTTTGCAAAATCTGAGCTTCGCTAGTTTTCACATTAAATGAAGAAAAAACAACACATTTAAATCTTTGTGCTTGATTTTCACTACCATGTGTTGTCCTACCTATCTTGAGGAAATCGAACCTTTTGCTTTGAACAGAAAAACTGTGAAATTGGCTTTGGTGATTACATGTATATTGGTTTAGGTCTTTGCAGAAATTGATAATGCTTGGAGGTTTGCATGGTGGATCTACATTAGGTAGGAGGTTTGCGGAGACACCATGTGGATTATCTCTTTTGTATGTCCGGTTCTGAAAAGAACCGGTACTCTACGTTTCAGACAGCGAGTGCTCTGTCCGTCATCAGGAGACTGCTGGATTCCAACTTGAGTGCTTGCTTAACCCGTTAACGCCAGTAGACGGCGACAGCTGTGTGAGGATTAGTGCATACCACACATACATTCTATTCATCATGCACCTGCGGTTTCAATGTGGGCCTGCTGCTGGACAAGGCTTTGTATACTTGGCATACCGCAGCCCAGCAGTCGCGGTCAAAAGAATCCCAGCGTTAAGGGGTTAAGTACTGTGCGTGCACGATGGGGTATGGTCGAGTTGGATTCTGGCTGCTTGTGCACTGAGGCATTAAGGCAGGAACTGTCTCTGGATGATGCAGGTGGGCCTGAGGCTGCTCATCCAGGCGTGTCAGTGTGTGTGGGACATTGAGAGTGGAGGGTGCCTGGGTTATGGGAGGGTGACAGAACTAGTGTACCTTTTGGGCTGACTTAGGGTAGAGGGGACCCATCGGTTGGGGCGGGGTGCTCATTCTTGGGTCTTGACAAGAGATTTCTTGAAGCTGTAGTGCTGTGGAGATGTGGTGTAACTCACTTGGCAAGCTGTCTTGGTCTCATACATTGTATGCCCCACAGACGAGCGTGGTGTTGACAGAGTTCTTGATCTTGGGATGATAAATTGAGCGCTTGTGGAGGTAGCGGTCCGTGTGAGTTGGTTTACGGTATACATTGCAGGCAAGGGTGCCGTCAGGTCATCTGGACACCTTCACATCCACGAAGGAGATGGTGCTGTCCCGTTCTTGATCCATGGTGAACTGGGTACTGGAATTAAGTCTGTTCAGGTGTTCTAGGACGGCTGTGACTGTGAGGCCATATGACAAACATATCATTGACGTATCTAAGTCATACTCTCGGGCAGAGATCGGCCGTGGCAATGGCTGTTTGTTCAAATTGTTCCATGTTGAAATCAGCAAGAACCGGGGAAATAGGTGATCCCATAGAGGTTCCAGTGGTTGGTTCAAAGAACCTGTCACGCCATTGGAAGCCTGTGGATGCTGTACAGGTGATGAGTAGGTCTTGGATCTGAGCTGGGGTGAGGTGTGTTCATTCTTGAAGTGGTGATCTTGATCCGCGCGTTCTTGTGCAATCTTGCAGGCGACGGTGATAGGAATGTTGGTGAAGAGAGACACCACATCAAAGCTGACCATGATGTTGTTGGGTTGTAGGGTTAGGCCTTTTATTGGCTGTGTTGAAATTCTGAGTTATTGATATGGTGTTCGGTGTTGTCGAGTGGGTGCAAGATCTTGGCGAGGTGCTTGGCTATGTGGTAGGTGGAACTTCCCCTGGATGCTACAATGGGACGTAGGGGAATGTCTGGCTTATGGATCTTGGCTTATGGTTTGACCAAGGAAGTGGGGGTATCTTGAGCCAGAAGCACAGAGCTGACGGTACAGGGCCATGGAAAGGTTTCCAAACCATTGTAAGGCAAGTAGCTTGGTGTTTACTCTCTTTTGTATGGATGGTGTAGGGTCCTTGTGTAGGGGACAGCATGAGCCCGACTTCAGGATGTCCCACGCCTTTTTGTTGTAGTCACTCCTGTCTACGATGGGCTGTGGCGTTCCCTTTGTCAGCAGTCAAGATGTGGATTGCCTTATCTCAACGCAGACTGATGAGGGCAGAGTGTTCTTGCTTGGTGATGTTAGGCCTGAGCTTACCTGCCTCAACTTCACACCAAGCACGACATCTCAATTTTTTATCATTTGCTCTTGGAAGAGAGAGCAAATCACTTTGGCTGTTAAAATGTCAGTAAGCACAAGATACCCATGTACCATCAAATGGCTCAGCCCCCCAGGTTTAAAACTGAATATTTTTTCTTGCTAAGCCAATTATAAAAATGACCACCATAGAGGTTTCTAATCTACTTTTTAAGGGGACAGAACTTCTCATTTCAATAACCACCACAATTAGACATTGTCTAGTATTTGGGTGTGATTTATTTCACACAGGATGTGACTCTTCAACACACTACAGGTACTTGGTTTCTTACAGAGAAAAATATTCAAATCTAAAACAGTTCTTTCAAAGTATGACGGTACACTTTATGATGGCAGCGTACATGGGATTCGCCATCTTTACTGAGATTCTTTCCCTTGCAGTGTGGAATGATACTTCTCCAAATTATGAAAGTGACTTCTTCAGATACACCATGAATTTATCACATCTGAACTATCAAAGAAGAACTTGATACACCGGTGGATTTATTTCTGGAAAAATAAATACCAATGGGAAAAACACAAAAGTGCAACTTCTACAAATCTCAGTGATGTCACATGACTTAAAACCGTCACACGCTGTCACATACAGGACAGGTGGATTTATTTTGTGAGAAACGAATGCTGGTATCAGAGACTTCCTTGATGTGAAGTAAGACCTGTCTCAAAATGTGCACTGTTAGACTACTTCTTGGTTGAAACAGAAAGTGTGTAAATACAGTAACCAGTATCTGCAGTGCGTGAGAGAATGAAGGAAGGGGCTGGTGGTCTTTAGTCAAAGAGACCAAATCCCATATCGTCATCGGATTCCTCCTCTTCCTCTGGCTCTGCTGCCTTCTCTTCTGCCTTCTCATCCTTACCGTCGGCTGCAGCTGCTGGAGCGGCCACAACGAAGGCGGAGGGATCAGCTAAGAATGCCTTCATCTGAATGCATACAATCCGAGCCAATAAAAAAAGCACTCACTCTCTCACTTTGCAAAAATATTGTCCAAGGCAATCTTGGAGGGCACAGCTTTTTGCATGAGTGGATATTCTGTAAGAAGGCATCAAGCACAATCTGCATGGGTTTTGGGGGCCGGACTGTCACAAGGCTGTATATAAGCAAATGGGTAACTGATTCAGACTGCCTGTACGGGCAAATATTGCTCTTGGTCTGATGCAGGTGCCAGTGGGTTCTGCCATTGCTGGCACTGACACCATCCAGCACCAGACTAACAACATCAAGAGATTCATCACCATCAGTCACGAGAAGGAAGAATCTCTGCGATAAACTCCAAACCATGGAGTAGCAGCTCGCACAACCCAAATGTTTATCTATAGATTTTTAATTGTTTATGGTCGATTTGTGTGTTGTAATTTTCCTGTCAATTTTATTCTTATTGTCGTCCCTTTTATTGCACACCAAATTGTTTAAGTCTCTGGACTTTATACGTGTATTTGGTAAAATGTTTTTAATTTTAACAAACATAAGCCAGAATGAATGAATCAATGGATCACTCAGTCATTCCCTCTTGCCTGCAAACCAGGAAGACTGCACTGATCCACCAAAGAAGTCTCTCCTCTGTTTATCTGGTGGACTTCATATATGACAGTTGGTCCACTTGTAGATCCTTCAATGTAGGGCAATTAAATGAAAACGAATAAAGTGAAAGGGACACTGACCTGCTCTGCTTCTTTGAATTTGATCTCGGTTGCGCACGCAACAGCGAGGAGGCGTTTGAATCCATTGATGATGGAGTGAGGCACGCTAGCCTGCGATGGATACCCAATCTGCAGACAGACACTCGCTACACGACGCACTCCCTGTGGTGGTAGCAAACAAGGTTGGAAACGCAACGGATTCAAGAACACGGTAAACGGTTACAGTTTGACAACAGACCTACCTCTCGAACAAAAAAAGGGAAGATTCCTACAGCAAATAGGGTTTGACGGCACAAATATTCATATCAAGACAAAGGAAACTGTAAAATCCATCTTCCAGTAAGCCTTTTTCATACATGACAAGTTCTTTGGTGAAATACCTGTGTCCTGTACCGCTTGTGCTTCCCCCCCAAAGTCAGAGCATGTCAAAGCGCCCGAGAAAAGGGGAGGGAAGGGGAATATAGTGGGGCGCACCCACATTTCAATGACGCAGAACACTACACTGGAGCCATTACACGACACTCACCTCGGAAAACCTGGTAAGGATGTCCTCTGTGGTGATATCCAGGATATTAGGATGGAACACAGACCCTGCTTCACAGACTGCAAGTGTTGAATTAAAATAAAACGCCGTCACTACATGCAGGGACTTAGGAAGGCAATGTAATGGTCTGCATTAGCAATAAACGCCACAAACCATACACACAAATATGCAAACCTGTCCACAGTAACAGGTTAAACGTGACCAAAATGACGCCCAAGCCACTTTAACATTTTTCGCCCTCACAATGCCCATTTTCCAACAGACCGCCAAACCGGGTGCTATGGCAAAATGAGAGATCTACTTGCTCTTTCCAACGCGAACTGAAAACAAATCACACGTACTGACAAAATGGCATGAAGACTCAATTCCATGGGGTCTGATCAAAAATCATATTCAGTTGCAATGCTGAATTGCAAACTTTACCAAGTCACTGCAGTAGCTTGGAAGGAGGATTTATTCCTACCTTGCTGGATTTTGAGACCATACGAGAAGGGATAGATCTTCAACATGTTGAGCAGTGCCGCTTCAGAGGCTCCAACCTTCTCCTCTTTCTTGATCAAGTGGACTTTGGACTGAATCAAAATATGACGTCACTAAGTCAAAATGTTGACATACATTCAACAAAATTACATAGGGGTGGAAACGTTCCAAATTATGAAAGCTTTGATAGTGAATAGGACACATCAATTTTGTGACTAGTCTTTTTTCAAGGTCATTCCCATATGCTACAAAACTGCTACTGTCTCTTCGAACCAATGAGTTGAGCTAGTGACCGACTACCATCAATATAAAATTACTCTTCTCTCTCATTGTTTGTACCATATTTTCAGAGCAAGGGCTCTCGTGCCTTCCACTCCCCCAGAGTGGCACACTACCCCTACCCTTCAAACGGTTCAATTATTCTAACCAGAATTTCAATGGTGCCTCTTGCAATCTTGGTCTGGATCGACAGAGCTTGGAAGAAGGAGGTTTTCTCGGGTCCTAGGCCAGTGTTATGGGCATCCACAAACACATCAACAGGTGCGATGGCACCTGCCTTGGCAGGGGCTGCAACCTGCAATACACAACATGTAAACAGAGATTAGTATTACTCCATTTAACTGGAGATATCACGAACATGTCTACAGGTTCACCTTTACATTGTCAGGTGACCAAGATGAGCAAAAATGGAAACGTCATGGAATAAATAACTCGGTGTTATAAACACTTTTTCAAAACAGACTTAGCACATTGCCTGCCGACTACGAGTATACTCATAGGAAATAAAAGGCTGTTGTGATGTAAATTGAATACACTGGTGTCACAAAAGAACAGAACAAATACGCTGCCGAGTGTTGACAACATACCTCTGTAAAATGCTCCTGTTCAAAGACACCTGAAAGGTACCTATTACATTATGCATGCATGTGTACAACACTTGGCAAGTGAGAGCTCCCCTTTGGAATTAAGCGTGTCAGTCAACATGTTAAATAAATCCACCAGAAGGCAAAGTACAGCCCAAATGATGTCCACTCAACGCCCACGTGGGGCTTTGAACATGATGTAGCTGAATCAATATATACACATACCTTGTTCTTCAGGATGGTTTCACGGACCTCAGTCAAATCTCCCTTGGTGAACACAAAGCCAACATTGCCCTTAATGTGGGGAAGCAGCCTGCAAACAATGACAACTTATGAATGTCCACTCACAGAGCGTCACTTTGCATAATCTATCACCGAAAATAAGAAGACTTTCATACTGACAACTGAACAGTGATCAATTTGTTAAAAGCCACCAAAAATGAAAACTTTTTCAAATTGGATCTCTGCCATACAGCTTTGCAGAATCAGGTAAATATAATGGATCTGTTTCATTTCTATATCTTCACCGGGAGAAGCACATGTACATACCTGCGAAAAAAAAAAAACTTCTCAATCATGGGAAACTGACAAGTAACTGACCAACAGTGACGAGAATGGGCATTTTCTCACTTCACAAACTTCTTACTTTTCCAAGTCTGGGTTTGATTCCAAGTGTCCACGGATGGCTTTACGCATCATGGTGTTCTTGCCCATCAGAACCACTGTCATTAGAAAAATTGACATGAACACAATCTTTAAAACATTTCTTTAATCAACACAGTAAAAACCCCTGGTGAGATCCAACGGTAGTACTTATGAAAACATAACTGACTAGTACCTGTACGAGAAATTTATTCACTGGCATAAAATCCAAACGGCAATGGATCCCTCTCATGCAGAGATGGATTACAGCTATGGCCAATTAAACAACTGACAGTAATTGAAAATTATTTTGACAACTTTTAATGTTGTCATATGGACAACTTTTTCCTCAGTATTAATACAAATTCCACAGTGAATTTTTGCATATGTGCATATACAGAACAATTTTTCTGTAGAAACGTTTTCGTAAAGATTTAACAAGTCCCATGAAAATATTTTCCTTTTACACAGTAAAATGATGAAGTTCTGAGTATTTCCCCAAATGAAGGCCAAAACCTTACAAACTACTCACAACCTACCATCTTGTTCGTCAACAAGGTATTTTTCCTCAGTTTACCTATGTCCAACAATAACTGCATTTTAGATTGAATTGCCATATCAAAAAGTGACAGCAGGGCTAAGGACAGAATTTCACTGAAACACAACCTTTTTAGTTCCGCATCAATCATCGTGTCCGAGGAGCAACAATAACAGAGTACATGTACGGTTTGTCCGATGATTAGCCAACCAGGTTCCTTCCTTTCTGGGATGGTGCCGGCTCCATCTCAGACCTTAACAGTCACTTTGAAACACCCGCATGAAAATGAAACTACAACGAACAACAAATCAAGCGCCAGTCACACGTGCTTACCTCCCAAGCCTCTCAAGGAAGCTCTAATCTGCTGCATTTGCTTGGAGCCAACATTGTCTACCCCAACAATGAAACACTTGGGGTATTCATCAAACAGTTGCTATGAAAGAAAAGGAATAATGCTGTCAATATTTTTCTAATGACAAGCAAAACAACAGACCACCATTGCCGCTTTCCATATTCTTTACCTATTTACCTCGGTAAACAGCACTAAAAACACATGTAAATATGGATCGTTCTACAATGTACCTTTACAAATAAAGGGTGTAAAGTAGAATATACACGCCAAAGTTTGAAAACTGTTTTCTGTCTGCCTTGCAGTGAGGTGGTTGAGGTGATTATGTTCCACAATGCCTGATGTTTAAACACATAAAAGAGTGGTGCCTGTCTCTGCTTCGTTTTGCATGTAGCAAAACTGACCAGCAAGAACTGATAGTGTAGCTTTTTCTCATAGTAACTGTATTTGATAAAGTCATGATGAAAAACGTAACTCTGGGCCTTGTGGTTTGCCGAATAACTAGGGATCGACCCGATGTAGATTTTAACTGCCGATCCAATGTCCAATGTTTTAATCGGAACATTGGCTGATGTCCGATCCGATGTTTTTATCGACAATAACTGAAAACGCAACCTTAACAGGATGTAGGCCTACTCATAACAACACAAAACCAGCAGACTCCCTTAGAATTTAAAATTTTGGTTTACATGATCACTGATGTTTAGTATTTTGCCTTTACTGTCACTGAGTTGAGAGAATAGTGTACATCACATCGCCTCTCCCACGATACTAATAGTGCTCCACTGTATTCAAACCCAACGCACACGGTGCATGCATGCAGAATAGACACATGGCACCTCGAGCTGAATCATGGCTAGCCTTTAGTCAAGGCACACATGGCACCAGTGCACAATGCTCGCTCGTGTTGGTTTCTTCGTTGTGCTAACAGCTGGGGTGTGCATCGTGTATCCAGGTGCCCACACATGCCTTGAGTAAAGGCTAAATTGCGGGCTTCCTTCACACTGGTCACACAGCACCTTGTGGTGCCACACATGGTGTGTTCCCTGGTCATTTCACGGAGGTCAATGGAAATGGTAAACATGTACTTTGACTGCTCCTTGGGTTCGTGGTCAGTGCATCGAGTTGTTGCAGCACGAATCACGAAGATGTAATGTTCGGGGATATTTTACGTGGGTTTAATCATGGTATTACTGTTCATTTATCTCACTAAATGAAAAAACAGACTGTTTTTATTCATGCTCAAATAAAAATAAGTGATTTGTGTTTGCCAAAACTGAGTGCAGAGTTTGTTCCTTTCTTCAATTCAACATCGGCACTCATATCGGCAAGGAAAGTCACATTTTGCCGATCCGATAATAAGCCAATGTTGCCGAACATCGGCCCAATCCAGTGTCTGATCCGATCATTGGTTTATCCCTCCGAATAAAACCTAAATGTGTACTGCTCTATTTACATTGAGCCCCTAAAAAGGAAAAACTGATATTACCATAAAACACAGATACAGTGAAACAAACTAAAGGTTGGCTTTATAGTAACATACCACAAGTTTGAGGAAGTAGTTAGCCTTCCACGTTGCTCTGTCTTCCCTGGGCATCTTGATGTGACACAGGGATTGCCGCTTGGTTTAAAGACAGAATGCTGCCAAATCAAAATCAAAACTACTGTTACCCTACAATTGCTACATACATGCATGACAAGGACATAAAATAACAAAATGAACAAATTCAAGAGTCCAGTGTTTGATCAGTTCTGGAAACTGGATATGGCTGATGTCACGCACATCAGCCCTTAGGAAATACTGCTGTTATTACCACTCTCATTTTGCCAACTACAGTGGACTCTTATTATAGTGACATCCACTGGACCCAGTGAAAAGTTTGTTGTATCCAAAATTCACTGTATGCAGAGCTCTATGCGATGGCTTCGGTGTATTATTGTATGAATAGGTCCTACAGGTCTTCCTTATTTTGGCCAAACAGTCTCACTTTTTACAAGTAAGTGGGAGGTGTATGCACACAATGGCAGAGTTTTGATTGCTTAGCAAAGTCCTTGAGGTCTGACTGGGGCTGATGCTATGCTGCAACAGCGGGCGTAATTACAGGAAGGCAGGGGGTTTTCAGCGGATGCTCAAATCGGGAACGCTCTAGGCATACCCTAGAACTAGGGGGTACCACTTCCCCAGCGTGGTAGACGATGAATCCCACAGTTCTGGCGGGTACTCTTGAAATTGAGCTCGACGTCGCCATCTTCTTTGTCCGCATCCACGTGCGGCTTTTAACAGAAAGTGCTCATGGTGTGACAGCGCGCTCAAATGCACTGGCACCCAACGGCTGTTGCTTGTTGTTCCTGCCATTTGGGCATAAATAATGAGAGGCTCTGTGATTGGTCACTGGGTGACCCCCAGAGCACCGCGCAGCCAACTGCCATTCCAACCAGTGCGGCTAAGAAATACACACACATGTACGGAAAGAGGCTGCAGCCAATTTCAATGCCTTGTGTATCGATCGCAGCCATAGTCAACCATTTGGTCGCGGCTCGTCTTCGCAAGTACACAATGTGAACTGCCTGACTCTCGGACTCTGATCGGGAAATATTTGCCCCTTATTTTGGAGAATGGCATGGTTTTAGCCCATTTTACACTTGTAACCAGAATAAAATCCCTGTTCGTGCCCTGTTAAACGCCATGTAGGGCCTACAGCAAAAAAGGCTTGTTTTCTGTGAGGTTCGTTGGAGCCGGGCGGACGTCGGATCCCACACTTCTAGGGGTATTTGTATATGAACACCCAGGGAGTTGATCCTGGCAACGGTTTACACAATCTCACCATTTTGGGGGTCAAACAATCTCCTTTTTCAAAAGATACTGTCATGACTGTGGGGGCACTTTTAATGCTCAGGCAATGAGAATGAACATCCCGGATTTCTGTCCACCGCCCGCATACCACTGAAAAAGCTGCCAAAAAACTTCATTATTTTCCAAAAAGTTATTATTTCAGATGCTATCTACGTGTGTTATGCAGGCCTACAGCAACTAATGAATAATGAAACAAACCTCACGGGTTTTCAAAATTGTCCGGAGGAAAATCCGGATGTCCATTCTCATGGCCTAATGAGCCGGCCAGAAATTCTCACTTGAATTAGTAGACTGCACTATGACTGCACCCACAAGGCCAACCTTTTCCTGAGCATCACCAGGTGGCGTTATTTTGTCTCCAATTTTGTGTTGTTTTCTTTAGGCGCGTACTCAGATTAATGTAGTGCAACAAGAAATACGACCAAACTTCTCATAATAAACCTTTTCGACGTTTGCAATGCATTATGGGTGTGGAAGACAAACAAGCAATGCATTTTATGCACAACCCTGGGGGAAGTGAACCAGTCAAAAAACAAGTTACAGTTTTCTAACTAAGTATTTTTTATGTATCTGCTCATCAACTCACAGATGCATGCGTATTATCAGATTATACAAGAAACATTTTCAAATACGTCTTCAAATGTTTGTACGAACAAATCACCCTTAATTGCCTTTTTTTAAAGGGCACCAGTCACTCTACAGGCTCAAATGAACATGACTCACTGGTCAAGGCGGGATGAATGAGCTGCAAATCAGGATTTTGATTGGGTAATACTAGAACATTAATATTCACGACATTAGTCAAGCATGGTCCGTGACAAAAAGTTGGAATTCTCCAACTTTTCCTTCACTACCAAGCTTTAAACTTCAAAGTTTGTGAATATCTTCGTCCCAAATCAATAATGCAACACTTTGTCAGAAGGGGGTGGCTTGAATTGGAGTATGAAATAAAATGGAAACAAATTAACGTTTTGCAGGTGCATTGCATGTATGTCATCCAAACCCACAATGCATTGCGAACGTCGAAAAGGTTTATTGGCATGATTGGTTCATCATGTTCATGCATGCAGCTCTCTACCATGTCTACGGTTCATGTTAGGGCCTACAATTCAAATTCTTATTAAGCCCATCAGGAAGAAAATAAAAGGACAAAATAACCAAATTCATTTCAATGATATATTTAAAAATATATTCCACGCGATAGATTGAGGACAAATGCGCAATTAACTAGATAAACTACAGAAACATTTCCCGTCCACCCACACCACTTCTCACCTTCGACACGATTATGAGCGAAAGACCAAATTGGCCAAGTGGCACATTTCACGATAGCCACAGTATGTACCACGCGTGCGCTCATCAATCAACCTCGTGTCCGTGGGCTTTCTGATGCATATACATGTAGTGAAGTATCCCTAGTTTACAAGAACCTGGGGATGAAAGACGTTAGACTGGCTCTCAAATCCGACGGTAGTGATATGGTGCATGTAGCGTGGGCCGTTTTCCAATACTCAACTTCGGCTCCGTCGGAGGCTTCAACTGTTCTTTTTTACCGACTACCTGATTTTGAAGCTGTAAGCGCACTAATTTGTCTAGTAGTGCCACAAAACATAAAATAAGATGCAAGAGAGCAAAAATTTACAGTAATCCAATTTGATGTAAACGCTTCAGGCCCATAATCGGGGATTGGTTTCGGGGACGAAGCCTGAGACGGTGACGAAGTTGAGAATGCATTGACATGACTGAGATTAGAGAAAATGAAAGGGTTGCGTGCATGCACCGTAGGATACGTGATCAGAATCATTGACCAAAATTTATACCGTTAGTGCTCTTAATTTTTCTTATTGCCGAGCTTTTGGTATCTGGGTATCTTCGTCAGGGCAAGCAGACTCAGGCTTAGATCAGCCTGTGCCAAAATTTCAAATCATAATCTGACCTCAGCAGCTGCACGTGGAACAAGTGAGTCCAGCGTGGCAAGTCAAGCATGAAGATCAATGGTATATTTTGACAAGAATATAATATAAAATCAGTGTTCCTCTTCCGTTGCCCTGAAGACGGTAGGCCTACTCAGTTAACGAAAGCTCGGCAATCACATACTCCAGAGCACAGAGCACTGATTTTATATTATATTCTTGTCAATATTCTGATCACGGTGCTACGCAAGTACATGTATTTCTATGAAGATCATTGGTTTTTGACTCCTCCCACCAAGCGTGTGGCTGGCTGTGTTCTGCTCATATGCAGGCTCCCATTGGACGATCGCAGAAGTTGCGCGTGAACTTCCGGTACGGTTCCATGGTTCCACCTAAACGGCGATCAAGGCATGTAACCCAATGTGCAGTGCACGTGTGCAGTGGTCGTGATTTAAACTGAAGTGACGAATGAGACGACAGAACCCACACGGTCTTCCTGCCTTGTAGCACCGCTACACTTGGGCTCATTTCATGTGACGTCACTTCAGTTTAAACCACGCCCAGCTGCACATTTGCACTGCACAAGGCATAGGGTTACAAGCATTGATCGCCGTTTATGTGGAACTATGGAACCGGAAGTTAACACGCAACTTCTGCGATCGGCCAATGGGAGCCTGCGAATGCGCGTCCGCCTTTAAGCTTTGTGACGAAGTCACTTACGAACCGGAAAGTTCTGCTAGTACTGATGAGGACACAAATTAACTCTGAAAGAGCTGGGTGGAATCCACGCCCGCAGTAATTGTTGTCCGCAGTAATAGACGTTAAGAAAATGACGGGCCTGACTCCCCCGCCCCCCTAAAAATAGCTGGATCCGCCCCTGAGACATGTATGCGAAAACGATACTTATTCACTTGTAAAAGAGACAAGTTTTCAGGGCTTGCTCCAATGAGATTCGAGTGAATAACCTCTAGCTTACCATTGAACGAAAACGTCTTACCACTCGATCTACCATCGAGAGTCAAAGTCGGTTCGTTAATTGTTCGTTGGTTCAAATTTTTGGCTCGAATCGGTAAGTAGGTAGGCCTACCTGAATATATTGTCAACTTTTTGTCACTACGACAAGGGTTTCAGTTTGCTGTCATGCCCACAGAATACATCGGCTGTTTTCATTGTGATAATCTTGTCTTCCGGATCTTGTAATAATCTTGTCAGTATGACAATTAACGCGCTGTGATCAGAACCTACTTATCAAATGTTTTTAGTCACATGCTGGGATGCTACGACCCCAGCCTGACCAAGCGGAGATTTATTTATAATCTTAATCCTACCCGGGTAGGATTAAGAAAACTAATATTTCGACGAGCAAACTGTGGACGCCTAGGGTTAAGTATCTTTTCATCAGTGACGATCAGTAGGCCTATGTACAGCAGTGTACAAAGATTCTTTCATTGAAAGAATTACTCTAAATTAGACAGTTTGTTTAGATGTTCGACTAAAATAGCGGTGTTTGAATGCTCTAAAAATAATATTAATTGAAATCAAAATTCACTCAGAATGATTGAGCTCTATTATCCAGTTAAATGTTTCACTAGAATACTTAAGATATTGATAACAACTTACATACCATTGTCCTGTTTATAGCATTTGAGATACATTTCATTTTGGCTGTTTTTAATGATAAATAGGATTATTGTTCTAGCAGAATCCATCATACTTATAAAGTGGGCCAAATATATGACCCTTTTCTACTCCTCGTCATTTGGGAAAATTAACACCCCCGTAGCGTAATATTGAAAAAGCCTCGAGTAATAAAAACTAGTGAAAATGAGGAAAAATATCGTTCGTATTATCATCCACAACCTTAACAGTTACAGTCAATGCATTCACAGCATATTATTTTGTGCTTTGTCGATGTCAAGTGATCTTCAATATCGTCCCCGAAATACTTGCTGATGAATCAGGGTGTGTTGTTGAGCACAGACACTGACAGTGCTATAAATATCAGGAAGAATTTAACTGTTTAAAATCAAACCTCTGTGGTAGCTTTGCATTGCACATTTAAGTTACTTCAATGATGATATCGAGCACAAAGGGAGCTTGTTCATCATCAAAGCATAAACACCGTCAAGTAGCCCTATGGTCAAACATTGGAGATCTGCGGTCATTAACGGTAGGAGGCTTTTGCATGATTGTTCGTTGGGCGCGCGCTCCTGGTTTAGTCAAGCTGCCAAGGATGTGGTGGCGCCATTCCTCGAAGGCGGCCATTAGTTCCTGCTTGTTCTTTTGTAGTGCTGTACTGATAGTGATACAGTGCAAGTGTTCACTACATACAGGACCAGTACGTGTACACTAGCGTGCGGAAGCTAGCCTCACTGTGTTGGAATCTTTGTCTATTTCTCACTCTCGATCACTGTCATGCAACTATGAACTTGGTGTTTGCTCTAGCCACATTACTTTCCCTCAGCTAAGTGTGGTCCTGGCTGAAGAAGCCCCCGTCCATGCCGTCCGGTTCCTGTTGAGTGTTCACGTTGTTGACCCTCCGCCGAGCATGCACAAGGCGCAACAACAGACATCATCGTCATGCAAGCAAGAACAAGATACAGTGTTGTAATTGCCGGTTCCTTGGTTTTGATTTTGATTTACAGGCAGTGGCTTCAAGGAAGTGTGCTTAGCCACGGCCAAAGTCTCAGCGAGAACCTAAGATTACAGTATGATCACTTACACAGCTACGTCACATGGTCTGAGAAAGATAGAAATTATGAATACCAGTATGACCTTCACGCTTCCCCAAAGCAGAGACGTCAATCTAGGACAAATTTGTATAAGAATCGTAAATGTCGCATGGACACATGCTTCGATGTAGCAAAATGTCGAGATGGCTTCAAAGTGTACGTTTATCCAGTGCGTGGGAAGATTAGTGAGAGCTATTCAAAGATCCTGACATCCATTCGCAGTTCAAGGTACTTCACATCCAATCCGGAGGAAGCCTGTGTGTTTGTACCATCCATTGACACGCTCGACAGAGACATACTAAGCCATGAATACGTGATTGATGTACAGTCAAAGTTGAGTAAACTGCCGTATTGGAATGGAGGTAGGAACCACCTGATTTTCAATCTGTACTCAGGCACGTGGCCCGAGTATTCAGAGGATCTTGGCTTCGATATGGAGCAAGCAATTCTGGCCAAAGCAAGTTTCACCAAGCAGAGCTTTCGTCCAGGATTCGACATCTCTTTGCCGCTGCTTGGGAAATCTCATCCCCAGAAAGGGGGATCCCGCGGTGATCTCCAAACAAATAATTTCCCCTTGGTGAGGAAGTATTTGCTGGCGTTCAAAGGAAAACGATATCTGAGTGGCATCGGTTCCGACACAAGAAATGCACTGTATCATCTGCATAATGGCTATGACATCATTTTGTTGACAACGTGCCGACATGGCAAAGATTGGCAGAAAATTAAAGACACAAGATGTGATAGGGACAATTCGGAGTATGAAAAGTAAGTATGATTATAGTCGTGCTGTGTAGCGTCAACAACCGTCAACAATCAGCAAAGCATCAGCAACCTGGAAATGCACTCTTTAAATTTCAAAAAGTGTATTTAGAAGACTCTCACGTAGAAAGTGGGCAAAGTCACATACATACGTGTACATGTACACCATGCTGTAGAAAAATGAAAATATTTCATGCAGAGAGGTTTGCCGTCAGACAAGATTATAGCTGTTTGGATTCCAAAACTGGCACTGTGCCGTAACTTTCGTACTTTCTGGCTCAATTTTTAAAACTTTTAATATAAATCTGAGATATGAATCTGATATTTAGGAGCCTACTTTTGTGGACACATTATTCATGCATGTAAATTGCTTGGAAAGAACTCCATACACAAATGCCACTTGACACTCTATGCACAAATCCTATTCCACAGGTCTGAAAAATTGTATTTTCAAAGTGAATACCTCAATATTTTCACTGCCAAGTTTAAATTTTGACTGGACATTTGATGACTTTCAGGTGGCTAGTATATTAACATGTATCAAGATTCCAACAGCCAGCACGTATACTCTGTTTTTAAAAAGGTCTTTTTGAATATATTCATTTTCTGCCTGCTCCACTCTGTTATTCAGGCATGACTATCAGATCTTGCTGCACAATTCGACTTTCTGCCTTGTTCCGAGAGGACGTCGCCTGGGATCCTTTCGGTTCCTAGAATCTCTGCAGGCAGCCTGCATTCCTGTGATACTGAGCAATGGATGGGAGCTTCCATTCTCTGAGGTTATTGACTGGAAAAAGGCATCGATTCAGGGAGACGAGAGGTTACTGTTGCAGGTGGGTTGAGTCTTAGAATGAAGGATTACATGCGTGTATATGTACAGGTAGATGTGATGCTAGCGATCTATCTGAGTCAAAAAGTAAGGAATGGGGAAACAGTTACATGTACATCAATCTCGTCAAGAGAATACAAAATACTTGATTGCGTGCAAAGCATAAAGGAGGAAGGCAGATTTGCAAACTGTGTGACGTCTTCTGATGGTGTGCCAATTGTTAATGTTTGCGGTTGTTGTGGTAAGAATAATTTCATAAGATGCGAGGTAGCCTTGAGTCAAAGACAAGTAGAATGGAAGATTTCATCTTTCACTAAAGGGTATTATTTATTTTATACAATACCTGCATACATCCCTGTCATCTGATTGGTGGATTGTTGATCAAGTGTCATTGAATTATTCCTTCTATTCAATGGTACCCATTGAACAGAACTTCATTTCACTTGACTGGTCCCCCCCCCGTTTCTCATATCTCATTCCCTGTGCACAGTATACTTCCAGTGGGTAGCACTTCAGACGTGAATCTGTCTTGCAAAAAGACGGACATTAAAATGTTCTACACTCATGCAGTGGTAAGAATATTTTCCTTTGGTGACAGATGAATCGTTCCATTCTACTCGGCTTCACGTCATGGAATTAGACAGTTCATTTGTCACCTCACAAAAATATTCTCATCACTGCGCCCATAAATCTGCATTATTGGTACACTGTTACTTTATTATTATAATATTATTCATTATTCATTATTATTCATTATTCATTATTATTCGTTATTCATTATTATTCATTATCATTTTATTAACATCATCTGGATAAACCCGTTTTATTAACATCATCTGGATAAACCCGTTTTATTAACATCATCTGGATAAACCCGTTTTATTAACATCATCTGGATAAACCCGTTTTATTAACATCATCTGGATAAACCCAGAGAAGAGAAATCTCCAAATTCTGCAGCCCCTAATTCCCTAAAATCACCTGAGTTAATCTTGATTATTAAACTCCAACCTGAATATGTATTCCTGCATCCCCAACAAGGTTATTAATTTCTTTGACTATGGAATAGAACATTCTAACTAGAACTTGAGTTTTTTGGCAGTGTGGACATGCTGTGCATTAGGACAAATAATTCAATTCCATGTTAGCAACAGACGTCAGGGATTTATTATTCAGTAGTTGTATTTAAGAGTGATCTTTGAAACGATTGAAATGATCATTTTTCAACTTCGCTTGGTTTACAATATTGTAACAGCAAAATTAGCCGCCCATACTTGAGCTATCATCACACAAATCAGACGAAAGAGTCTTAAAATGATGACCAAAAGGTTACATACAATGTACATGTGCATTTGTTGACTTGTACCTTCTGATTTCCTGAATAGGCCCAGAGCTTACTCACAAAAGTCCTGAGTGTAACCTGTTGTTCTTTTCAGAACCACAGCCTAATAAAAGGGGGTCATTCGATGATGTGTCTGCAAAGCTCCCTTCACTAATCAGTTTTCTTTTTTTCAAACTCCATCATTCATTACACAAAAGCAACTGAAATGAATGTTTACTCCTTGTTTTCTGTACACTTCAGTTTATTTTGTTGCTTCCTAGATTCCCTCAATACTGAGGTCCATTTCTGATGAGCAGATTCTGTCTCTACGGCAACAGACGCAGTTCATATGGGATGCGTACTTCTCCTCCGTTGAAAAAATAGTAACCACGACACTGCAGGTATGTTTTGTTTGGAACGATGGCGTACGTAGAAATGAAATTACCAACTCGCACATGGCATACGTGTGTACATGTACATTCAGAAATGTGCACCTGCAAAAGGAGATGAATTCATCTCCAATAAGCTGGTTTCTTTTGGGAGAAAACCTCTGTAAAGTACATACAAGTAGAAGCACGAAAAGAAGAGACAAAGAATCTTACTGCAAGATTTGTTGATAATTCCACCATCAGCTAATCACCTCTCCTGTCTAAATTACGGTTGAGGGAAGGGAAGTAAAGTTGGAGATTTTTCTCAAGATTGGCCAGCCGTGGAGAGTAATTGGGCAGTCATGCCCGTGCATAGATGTACACGGTACGCATTGTATCCTGTTTGGTTCCTTTCACAACTCTACATCATCCAATTTCTTTTCTATTTTGCTTTCGTAACCGCTCCTCTAACATGCATCCATGCTGTTTTCACACACTGGTCAACCTGGTGACAATATGCATTTCTGTCGGTAGGATCCTTTGACTGTATGTATATGTATTTGTACACGCTATGACAAAGGCATATAGTTTTTTTAGTTCAAACATACATGTATTACAGCCAGTTGACCCAAGTCCATATGCGATGTCATATTCAACCAGGAGCAATTGCTGAGAATACTTGTTTTTAGTATCGTTTTCAGTGCACCCATAGAGTAGACTTATTGTGCATATCTATTGAACATTACTCCGTGCATTTTGGAGCAACAGATAATCCAAGACCGACTGGAACATCCAAGGTCGGCCTTTATGTGGAATCACCCGCCTGGCGCCCTCACGGTGTTTACCGACTTTGCAGGATCTCACAGTGCGTTTCCTTTCTACACTTTCATGCTCGGAGAGGAAGCCTGCGATAAGTTCACGGCAGTCATTTATGTCTCATCTCCCATCCTGTCACAATCGGCACCTGTCATGAAGTTGATTAAAAGTGTTTCAAAATCAGCCTATGCTGCACAGGTGAGTTGGTCCATATCCACGCACAGTGCTAATATCAGTTGATCAAATGAAATACAGCGCTGTTTAAAGTAAACAAACCCAGACGGAGACCAAAGAGATGTTTGAGCATACTTCTTTCAAACTTTCATACTTCTTTTAGGTTTTTAACCACAAATCAAACAGTTGTAGATCTTATTTCTTGGATGCAAACCCCTGTTTTCGAATAAAACAAGATACATGCAGAGTAGATAACATTCAAATACAACCGGATACTGACAGAGAACTGCCGTCAGCTTTTCTCTATGATACATGTGCATTCTGAATTGGTGGATTTGGGGATCTTTCTTTTCCTGGCTGTTGTCCAGATATTTTCAAGTGGGGATGGGTGTGTGGGAGGATGTGTGTGTTTGTTTTTCTTTTTGGAAATCGGGACGTTTACCCCAGATTAAGCATATACACTGTATACATGTTGTCTTGTGCCCAAATTCTCATTATCCTGTCCGCATCGGTCATGTTGTACATTCACATTGTAAATTGACACATACATATTTTGACTATCCTTGTATATACAGATAGTAATTTTGTGGAATGTTGATAGGCCTCTCCCTTCCAAGTCAAAATGGCCTTCCATCAGTATTCCTCTAACAGTCATCGAAGGTGAAAAAAAGGTAAGCGTAACTTTGTCAAGAGGGAGTGATCATGTATCAATCCAAAAATAATTGGACATGGAAACACGCAGGCCCAGCAATAGTGAACCTGAGCTGAGTAGTAGGATTTTGTGGCATAATATCCATGTACCTGTAACCCTTGGTGGCAGCGACGTAGTAGGAATCGTGTAGCAAGATATTGGTCACTGCTAAACGCTAGAATTTCAATCTTCTAAAGTATGCGTAGTTTTAAGGATGTAGACCTGCATTTCAAAATCTTCGGGACTCAAGCGCAGTGCAGACTTTGGTAGAAAGCATTATTAGTGTCCTGGAGTTAAGAGTACTCTGTAACAAAAATAAGGTCTTTTCACTGCAGCTAACATGTGAGACCTAGTTTTTAATACAGCAGGTATCAAAATCACAGGATAAAGAAAAAAAATTTAATGTTTGCAATGTAACTATGTGTGGGCATAATGTCTTTGTCGGTACTTGCAGACAACAAACAGGAGATTTTCACCACTGTCAGTGATTGATACAGATGCCATTCTCAGCCTGGACTGTGATACTGTCTTGTCAACAAATGAGGTAATGTGATCGGTACAGCTTCAAATGGAAGATTTTCGGATTGAGAAAGAAGCAAAGGCCAAAATAAAGGGCACCCAGGCCAGTCATTATTAAACTTTGCCTCACTACCCTGAAATGGCCCAAAAAATTCACAATTTTAGATTCAGCCAAAGGAATCCAACCTAATGCCTAACAGTTATGAGAAATGATGAAAACAGCCATTATGCTTAAATCTGATGGAGTAGCTATTTTGAAGCTCCTGTATTCATAGCTTCAGCCATGTTAAAGCTATCAACTTGTGAGCCCCCTCGTTGCATCAGACCGGCGCCACAGTTAATGCACACAACACATGAGAAATACATCAGAAGTCTCAACTTGCCAGTTAACAAACGGACCAAACCAGCTGTACCAGCTGGGCTACATTACGGATGCACGTACAAAAAAATTTGCTGGAAAATTGTGAGTGGCACAACAAATGGCTTGGTTTTCTGTCAACAATTTTTTGGGTTCCCTCAATAGTCGCTCAGAAACCACAAATTTTGAGGGTACAATTGCGTATTCTACTTTAAAAAGACCTTTCAAAATGATATAATTTCACCAAGAACATGTTTTAGAGCCCGGATGTATACGTCCAGAACGGGAAAAATCTTTTAAAGGGAAAACAGCTGGGTCAGTCTGGACATGCCATATGTGTTGGCCGCCTTGTGTGTATGTTTGTGCATAAGGAACAGTCTTACCAAAAAATAGTCTTCATGAATGCTACAACACAAAAATTGAATCCTGTACATACACAGAAAGGGAGACCAGGTTTTGTGGATAAACTCACCGTTAATGTTATCAAAGACTTTGATAGTTTTAAAATCATTCCAATGGAAGTAAATGTACATGCACAATACATGAAGTGTGACACTGTCCAGAGTTTGGACATGTACATGTAGCATGTTACTGGAGTACGAGGTCGTGATAACCTGCACGATATACAGTAAAGGGAGACCCCCCCATGTGACCCACAAGCTGTATACCCTAAGGCTATTGTGCCTACTGCGCCCCCCCTCAGAAATCTGAAAGGAATTCCAAAGATTCCATCAACACAAAAGAAGACACAATAGAGGGGGGTCCCTCTTTACTGCATATCTTGCATCATATGGAGGTCGTGCGCTGTAGTCTGGCTCCATGTCCATGTACTGTCGCTTTTCACTATGCTGTGTATCTTATATGCCATCTTTGCAGTAGCTCAGGAACGAATGAGTACATATATGCACACTACATGACTTCTTTACTGCCAAAACATAAGCATGTTGTATATATATACATGTACATGTACAGTATGTAATACATAAAATGTATTCTGTGTGCTGTCGTGACACCGACTATTTCAATATACCATTCCAATATTCAGATAATTGTTTGCCGGGGATATTTGATGACTCTTTCAAAAATACAGGATGTACTGTCAGTGCCAAGGCACTATGACCAGTTGGGAAAAGACCAAAGCAAGCCTTGCCGTGAAGCATGCAGTTTTGTGAAGACCAGTTAGGCAAAGTAAAGGGCAACAAAAGTATTGGCCGTCGTAGATTTGTAGTTGGCATGAAATTTGAGGCCTGTAAATATTTGCCTGTACTTGTCAGTAGATTGATGATATTTTTTCCAAACTACCATGTCATCTTATGTGTAGCTGAGCCCAACATACCCACACCACTGACCAATGCTGAGTTTTGCTCCCTCTGACGATGCTGCTGTTTACAAAGTGGCATTGAGCCAGTCTACGCACCTGATGCACTTTCATCTTTCTGCAGATGTTTTTTAACATCCTACAAGACATCACATGGCCTGTTAGGAAAACTGACTCAATCCTATCTCTCTTTTGAATAGGTGGATTTTGCTTTTGTTGTGTGGCGTGAATTTCCAGAACGTATTGTTGGTTATCCTGCTAGATCTCATTTCTGGGATGAGACTAAATCGGCATGGGGCTACACATCTCGCTGGCTGAATGAGTACTCAGTAGTACTCACAGGTGCAGCTTTTTATCACAGGTATGTTGAGTCAGATCACGGAACATTAAATTCAGTGGGTAGGTAGAGTCTCAACTCCTGATTAAATATGTGAAGTAACATCCCGATGAATGTCACGTCAATAATGTCGCGTCTTCGTAGAGCATGTGTCCCCTGTAGTGACTTCATGATGATGTAATCTCATCGACTTTACACTGCTTGTAGGACATACATGTATAGTGCTTTCTTCTTTTTTTTCTCAAAACTTTAGAAATGCACAAAAGGCCCATGTTCTGTTCTTGAATGACACGGATGTCTACTTTTGTTTTGTTTTTTTCGTTTTGGGGATGCCATGGGGATGATCAAATGGTTTTTCCTGGTTTAAATGGAGTATCCAAGTTATAATATATTTCAGTGTTGTAGTCAAGACCATGCACTAGACCAGTCATAAGTAACAGGTTAACAATGACAAAGGAAAACTTTTGTTGCAGTTCATTTGAATAGCTTGTGACTCGAGTTCAGACTGGAGGTCTTGTGAAGGTCTTCTATGGTCTCGACCACAACACTGATGTATAAATACTTAGGCACTTAGACTGTACTGCTTGATTGTTCCTTGTTTTCTTAGATAATTCTTGATTTATCTTAAGTTTCCATATTTCCATTTCCTAGGTACTACAATCATCTGTACATGAAGTACGCTCCGTCGTTACTGGCTGACGACAGCGCTGGAAGTGAATGTGAACACTTGCTCATGAATTTTATCGTTTCACACGTGACACACCAGCCACCCATCAAGGTGACACAGAAGAAGCACTACCTGGATGTTATGACTCGCAAAGGAATGGACTTGGTACAGCGGTTTGACAAGAATACGCACTGCATCGGTGCTTTTGCAAAAGACTTTGGGTACATGCCTCTCATTCGCTCTCAGATGAGACTCGATCCCGTGCTCTACAAAGACCCAGTTTCTAATCTCAGGAAACGGTATCGACAGATAGAAACGGTGGGCCCAAAACCATGGTAGTAACCTCAATATTTGTGTTGTAAAAGATTTAACAGTGCGGGTATGCGAATGTTGAAATCCTGTCTGTTGAATTTTAGGAGAGGGGACTTCTCAGAAAACGTTAGTGTGGTGCCGCTGTCATAAAGATTTGATAACAGTGAATTGATTCAAATCAGGAAGTGAATCAGTTATTGTTTGAACTGGTCAATCAGCAAATGTAAAAGTAAAACCTAGAGAAAAGAGAACAGATTTTTGCATGGTGCTACCGCAAACCTCTTACTTAACTTGCCACCTTCACCATGAAAAGCCTCAAAGGAATCCTTGGTCACAACCCACGCATACCAGGCAGATTTGGGGAAGTGTTTAGCTCAGATATGGTTATCAGTGAATTGTCACATAAGCCATGCAAGGAAACTGGCTAGATGCTCGACAAAGACAAAGAGATAGAGCAGAGAGAGGTTTGAATCTGGAACTACGAGCACAGTGTCCAGAGGTGATAGCTTCAAATTTCACTCACCCATTTCTTCATCTCATCATAGCAGTGTTTATCAGCTAAGCTAGGATTATGGTGTAATGCCTATAAAGCCAGTACTACGTGTATTTCTCTTGAAATATTTACAGAAACAAAATGGAAGGAGAGCTGCGTTGTGAGGAGGATTTGTCAGAATATTCATGTTAAAACATGTAACATATTTAAAATTAAAATCCCACGGTGCACACTAAAATCTGTTTCTTGTTACAGAGGTAACAAGTAAGTTGAGGTCTCAGATCCCGGGAATGAGGTTGCCTGGTTTAATTGGACCTGACTCCTCCAGGGACCTACCCTGTGCCCACCGAAGTACGACCACCGTAAACCTTTGCATAAACCGGTCCCACTGCCGAAGTACGACCACCGTAAACCTTTGCATAAACCTTACCCCAGTGGGACCTGGGGAAAGATACATGTATTGGAAATACTGTATAATGAGAATCATTGGGATTTGGAACCATGTTTACAATCAGAAACCATAACTTAGAATAAGCTCTGTGGTCGCAGGAAAAGTTTGAAAGAAATTTACCCGGTGTTGCTATTGACTCCTGTTAAGACCAACAGAAGACCTCCTATCTGAAATTGCAAGTTATTCAAATGACCTGCAACAAAAGTATTCCTTTTTGCTGTTACGTGTGACTGGTCTTGTGACTGGTCATGTGACTGGTCATGTGATGGTCTCGATTACAACACTGAATTTACCAATCCTGGGTAGATTTTCTAACTTCTTATTAATACAAGCAGGTTTCTTTCACCTGTGTTCAAACCAACTGAAACTAACAGACTGATTGCACTCGCAAAGTCATGTGACTTACAGTGGGTATTAAATATCAACAGACACGGCATCCACCAAAAGCAAAGTGTTTCATAAGTATCATTTACCAAAAGTGAAGCCGACGATAGGTACTATACTCAGACTACTGATGTGCTGGGTATTATACCGTAATTTGGCTGTATTGTTCGTAAACAAAACTTAAAAACACTTGTTGCTATGGGGTTTATACCCGCTATAGGTCACGTGATTTAGCGGGCGCAATCAATCTATTGGCTGCACTTGTCGGTGCTGTGCATAGATTGCAGAAAGCATCTCACTCCTGTCAACAGGAATTAAGGTACATCTGTACATTATGTAATTTATTATTTTTTTTATTGTATAAATGTGTGCTTATATTTACAAATGTCAAGGCCATAATCTTCCAGTGTTGCATTGATGATTGATGAAGTCTACTATTTCAGGATATCAGTCTTGCTAATTTGGTCAGTTACCCTTGGGGTGAAATACATTTCTGTCACCTTTCTTCAATTAGTATCTTCTTGCGGGTTGCTTTCAAGTAGCTGTCTCAACATGTTCAGTTGTCCCACCTCAAACCTTCGACATAGTTGAAACCATGTCTCATATGAAACCCATCGTATAATTAACATAAACTGTATATATATATATAAATGTATTCCCTCTAAAGTGAATTTCTAAAGGCCAACATTTTTGGAACCTGTATTAACATGTATATTAACAGTAGGCATTTTTGTAAATATTGTGTCTGTGTCAGTTTTTGTTAACTTCCTCGTTACTATTAATATTTAATATGAATTTTATGTTAGACAATTCCTGATGGGTGCCTTGCTAATCTACAATGATTAAAATACTTTTTGTCTTCTTTGCTCCTGATGTCTCTGCCAGTACTTCTGAGGAATTAAAAAAGGTGAAGAAAGTTGGAATTCTAGTCCTCTGCAGTAGTTCATTCAGAATTCACTTAATGCATAGACCTGTTTATACATGCAAATGCAAACAGACCTTTATCATGATGCGTCCCTTTTTGCTCTTGCCCCCTGTATACCAAATGATAAAACTAACACAATTTTATGTATTGATAAAAGGAAACAGGCTGTTTTTCCATCCAGCCTTGGTTTGGCTACATGGCTTTCAATGTTAGAAAAACCAAGATGGCTGCCCCATGATAAAGCTCCTTACTGGTGCAAATTGTATTGCACTAGAGCACAACTGAGTAGAGGTCACTTGCATGTCAGATGTTTTATTTCTGTAGTAAGAACATAGAGTTGGATATCAGTAAGGACCAACATGACTTCAGGCCACCATTACCCACAAGGGGGGGGATTCGCTTGAACTAAACAAGGGCAGAAACAAAAGATCCAGAAATTAAAATCAAACAGTACATTTAATATACAGTATACGTTAATGTGTAATTTGTAATCCAATTTCCACAAAAATAAAAACACCAGAGGTTAAATTGTTGTTGAAATTACTTTTAATGAAAATTAATGTACAGCTGCAGCATACTAGTGCGAGTCATTCCATGAGGTTGGGGCACAATACGGTGACGGTGTCAATTATTACATGGGTTCCGTAAAAACGAACAGCTATTTCCCTGCATGTGGATTGCAAATTGACATTGTTATACATTACATCTTGCAAAACTGAACATAGAGGTGTGTGTTATTTTAACAGAGTAAATGACCTACTCTATAAGTCGTGACAGGTGGTAAAAGTTACAGATGTAACAAGGACACCATCACAGATTGTGCCCCAACCTCATGGAATGACCCAGTTACATGTAACTTGATCCTGTGTTGAGCAAATTTCAAGGATTTCTTCGAAAGTATTCCTTTATGAATTTTCAAACTTCAAGGATAATTTTCAAACTATTTCCACTTAAAAGTCACCATAGTCTAGCATCCAGTGGATACACTGTTTGGACGTGAGACAACGTATAATTGAGCAATGCAAGTTTCCTGTCGTTTCCCTGATTTGAGGCATTTGTCGCAATTTCTCCGACTTTTTCCTGACTGTAGAAAAGGGAAACTCAATTCCCAGGTTTTCCCAGATTTCCAGGATGGCTAGAACCACTTTTGAACGCACACGTGAATTGCACTGTGGGTAAATCTTACACAAGGCATTAGTTTCAGCACAGAGCCTGGCTGGCCCAAACACAGAGCTCTACACAGAACTGCTGGAACTGGCAGACAGGTTCTTAAATCACAAAAGATTCTACCAGAGTTGCATAGTGGGCTTAAATCTTCCAACATATTGACTTGGGCTGCTGGCTATTCCCAGTTATGAATGATTTTTTATAATCAACTTTTTCAGCCGAACTTTACTATTAAATCCTCCTGCCTGCCACGCTATTTCAAACTATTGCCCACTTGGCTGCTATCTGTGATATTCTCATCAGGCATGGTACAATACCGTGTGTCTGCAGTCATTACGGCCTTAAATTAATTGTGTACGTGTACTTGGGGGGCAACTCGGGACACCTTGAATTCCCCTCATACAGGTGGTGAGGGGAATGCAAGCTTGCATTTCAATTTAGATTATGTCAAAGCTAATGAAGTCATTTGAAATCCCACATACTTTTCTAAATTTGCAATGCAAAGCGATGCCGGAAACTAGTTCCTGAGCTTTCATAGGGCATAAGCTTATACTTTACATATGCTAATTTAATCCGACTCCAGTGCAGTAAATGGTTGCACTTCCAACAATCCATACATGTGGAAAAGGAACATGTGTTAAGACCTCCATGTTCATGAAAGGAACAGGCTTGGTTATTCAGCCACAATTTTATTAACTTTTACTGTTGCTCAAGTAAAAAAAATTACAAGTAGCAACCATAATTGTACCCCTTCCCCCCAAAAGGTGGAAATGTTAAACCTTTTATACAGGATTTAAAATAAATTCTAATTTTTCATTGTTTTTTACATTTATTAAAATGAGTGCGAACAGTGGTTCTGCCCATTTAAAAGCCTCTCAATATCAAGTCACATGAAAAAGGCTACACATTTTTTTATTGGCTGCTGGACATATTGCTCTGTGGTTTATTGTGTCTTCAGAAATACACGTAGAACTCATATCATTTCCATCCCCAAACAAGGCGGAGCCAAAGCATGGGGGGGGGGCTGTCAGAGCACTATGCTCCAAATATCACAAATGCAGGACAGAATTGGGGGCCATGCATGGTTCCTCTTGCTAACCCAACCAATCAAGATTGCTAAAAGTGAAAGCATCTTACAGTGATAACACCATGGATGTCTTTTCCTTTTTTTGGGGGGGGGTTACTTTTTCTAGGGAGGAAACATTTCAGGAGGGGGGAGTGAAGCATTCATCAGCAGTGAACTGATGAACCATTAATAGTAAATGGGTGTCAATTTTTATTTTTTTGCATGCAAATTGAAGATTTACATGATAAGATCCTTTTCATCTCTTTTCTCATTTCTTTCACATTTCTACCCTTCTTCGTATTTCAGCCTTTTCTTTTACAGGGGGGTACTCCCTTATCACCCATGGGTACCACTTCAGAAAGGAAAATAACCCTATTAGCTTTACACTTTAGCTGGCCCGCAAAATCCTACCAGCTGTGGCACTTCCAGGCAACATTTATGATAGAAAATATCTGCATTCATCACTTTCTCATTTTCCCTCTCGTGTTTTGGGTCCAATCTATTAAAATAACACATCCAACATCATGAAAATCCACCAAAGTAAAAAGAAAACTTCGTTATATTGTGTTCACCATCCATAGATTGTAAGGTACTGATATCACATTTTTATTAACAATTTATGCACTGATTTTCATACCTCTTCAATGATTTATCAGAAATTAATGTCCAATCAAATGGATTTTTACTACATGGTATAATTTATACTGCATATGTAACAATGATAAACAATCAACAATTAATTTTTATCAGGATGAATAAAAGATACACATGTGAAATATTCTATTCTCAAGTAAGCTGTTTTTGAATGTTCATTATAAGACTTTGGAGTAAAATCAAGATGAATAAATGGACATCTTGCAAACAGCAAGTGAAGTTTACACAGGAACTGCTTGTTCACGGAAGCAGTACACTTCCACACATGTAGCTGCTCCAACGTGTCGACTTGTGGCATTCAGTCCGTTTCTTCCAGATCTTCAGCTGGAAAAATGACATACGAAAAAACTTACATGACCATGAATTTCTGTGGAGGATAGGTTGGTTGTTCCAACCATTTTTACTCAATGGCTCATCAAGAGAAATCTTTAAAAGGCAATGAATGCAAAGTTCCACTCAAAATTGTACATGTCCATCTGAGCATACATATGTACATATTGTCATCTAAATTTCAAGGCCGCATAACATGCATTTGGGCACGTTGTGACCCCCCCCGCATTACATCATAGGTACCACGGTTGTGACAGGTCAGAATAAAATTCCAGAAACAATAATGCTGCAGATTTACACAACGTGTACCTTGAGTGCAGATTCTGTGAAGCTAGCATGTGGCTGATGTTTTCATACACCACAAAGGTGATGCAGCACGCAGGAACAACTCGCAGCAGATTTGCAGAAAGGCCTTTGTAAAACCCTTTCCAGCCCTCGCGTCTGAAAAACCAATGAAACATTAGGAGTGATGACATATGAATCAACAGCCAAGCAGAAAGAATCTCTAACATCAACAGATACACAGCACACAGACCAGTCCTAGTGGAAGACAATTCCCTGATGTCATGAATGAGATTCCCTTGTTTTCTTGCCTCAGGCATGCTATCTCAGGAATACATTTTATTTTTTAGTTTACTTTAGTTTCAATTTTATCTGTTACATTTTGTATTTAATTAATTTTAATTGTTAACATATTGTACATATGCTCTGAGATTTTTTTATATGGAGGGTGCTATTATTCATAGATGCTGCTCACTCCGCTTATTTTGTCCCATTTCTCCTTTCTTTGACATTTTATTGCTTTACGTATGATGAAAATTGTACAGATGAAGTACTTTATATCTCATGTCAAGAAAAACAATCAAAACAAGATCCCCAACACACAGTTACAGGTTGGACGCCAAACAGGCCATGAAGGTCAAACTCCTTGGTTATAAACCCTGTGCATACAAGCGCATCTGATGGCACCCACAGCTTAATTTCTGTCTATTAAGCCAAACCAACCAACAACGACGTCACTGATCGATGCTTTCGTCTTCCTAATGAACACTGTGGCTAGTAGACTCATACAGTCCTTTTGCTAGATACGGCAGCAAATTATTGTACATTGATGAACAGGCCACACCCTACATTAATCACTCCAAATCAACAAATGCCCTCTCATAGTGCCATCTGGTGCTTAAACTCTGCAAGTACATGTACCTTGGAATGGACGCTCTTTCAACTACATGTTTCCATACGGAAAGCCACGGTGCCTAAGTGTTATTGGGCTGCATAAACACTGCAATGGTTAGGTTGCTGGCCTCATCACAGAGCAAACACTTCATTTATTTTTTGTATTTTATTTCAAAAAATCACCAACAGCGGCAAGCCACCAATTACAGGGATTTTTAACAGATTAAAAAAATCTAAATATTATTTGTTACGTGTGGAAAGATCAACTAAAACAACACGGCAGCAAAATTTGTTTTAAGAAGAAAGAAACAAGTAAACAGGATATTTAGGACAACCAGCAATAACCAAGATGGAGAAGTGCCAGTTGAACTAGAATTAAAACTATATTAATTTAAATAATGAGCCAATAACCAACTAGGAAATTAACAAATATAATACAAATTTATACAATATAATAAAGAATCGACCGATACATACAAAAATTGCCCGGTGAACATAAGAAACCCAAACGGAACTGGGTTGCTCTGTTGACCAGTACTGTGGGTGCGGACTGCGGCGAGAGGTAGTCTACGTCCGAGGGGAACTTGACTAACTGCTGCTCCTGCTACACACAGCTCCACAGCACGGCGGGTACCCTCAGTTCAGGGCCAGCACCATGATTTACACCTTGGGCTGACCTGCCACGCCCAGCGGGTCCACAAAGGTAGCTTGACTTAGACTCCGGTAGTACTGGAACACTGATGCCAGCATCTGGCCTGCCCGTGGTGGTATGGTCAACAGAGAACCCGGCATGGGAGTATCTACCCAATTTACTTCAGGCCTCTTACACTTTGGTGATAGATATTAAAGGTGTTGACACAGGAACATGCTGGACCAGGGTTCAATTCTACATCCCCCGAGAGTTGTATGTTGAAACAAGCAGTAGTATTGTTAAAATACAATATCCTGCAACGAGAGTATCTGTTGAATCGAAGGCCAAGTACTCGTAACAATGGCCTTTACGTGAGAGGTAATAATGTCAAGCATGCAGTGCAATCAATCAAATAGTGTTGAATTGCTAAATACGAAAGCAAGACGAGAAGCTAACACAGGGTACTCGCAGGGGCCATCTTTATATTCACGCCTATAAGTCCACTGTAGTGTGCTGTACGTACGTGCCACTTACACTTTCTGAAGAAATTCAATACCAAAGATCAGCCCTCAGAAGTATCATCGGTTAATAAAAAGGCAATGTCTCAGCAATTCGGCAAAATACAGCAGTCAACAGTCCAGATGTGACTACCAAACAGTGATGAAAATGGATTAAAAACTGAGAAGCTGACAGAATAAAAACGTCCCAACCTCAATGTCTGAAGCGCCCTCTGTACTTCACATGCAAAGATTACGTAAAATATCTGTACAATGCTGATCAAAACTTGCCTGTATGTCTTCAGGATTGTATCTAAGACACCATTGTACGTGTGATGCTGGTCCTGTAGCCGTGACCTGACAACTTGATAGGGATAAGTTGTGACCACAGCAAACATCTTGGATAGTGCAGCGAAGACGATGTACTCCAGTGAACTCTGCATTCAATGTCAAGAAGACAGATCAATCAGTCCGTACAACAGGAAACACAGGAGTAGATAGCGTGAGGGGAAGTCCATCCCCTTCTCCCTCTGCTGTACGCAGCTGCACCACTGCGACCAAGCACCATGCAAGGAATTCCATATACAGTTGGTAGAAAGTGACCAAGGATCCATTTTGTTAACCACTGACCACTTTGTGTACATGTAAAGTGTGAAACAACTTACAAGTTTTGTGCTGCTTGATTCATCCCCAACCCTTTGTCGAAGCTTCTTCAATTCTTCATAAGCCATGAATTGAAGAGCCCCATGTGACACACCAAAAAGGCCTGGTATCAAACCCTGAAAAATGCAGAGGAATTGAGCATGATGTTACTCTACAGTCACTTGGAGCGAAATCTGAAGACAAAAAAAGGAAGAACGACATTCTTAATGAAAACAAAAGCTGTTTTGTCTGGAAAATTCCTCCAAACACAAAAGTTCATCTGAACAAACGCTGTCCAAAAATCCATAATCATAGATGTAATCAACAGATCTGGTGTACAAGTGCATGCTAGCATGCCTAATATCACGAAAATTCAATTACTTTAAAATGCCTCATTTCACAAACTATGCAATTCACTGGTTTTGTATTTAGCTCATTTCTGATCGTAATTCCTTTTTTTCGTTTCTGACACAAGTAATGAAAATTTACTTTTCTGATCAGCAGAAACTCAAAGTCAAGTGATTATAGCAGTGGAATATCAGGTGCCATGTGAATCACATTTGTATGTAAGGGACCAGATATACATCACACATTGTGCAATTCTGAAGGAAGTTCTAGATAATCTCTGTAATTTAGTTAATACTAGTGAGGAGAGGTTTGAATCTGCAGCAGAACAGTCACAAAGATTTTTGACTGAGCTGTATGTTGCCCCAGGAGTTGGTGACCAGTCCTCAAGGACCATTTCCCTGTGAAGTTTACAATGGACGTGAGATGGATGCTACACGTTTTGTTGAGATGGGACGTCCTCTTTAGCTGCCTTTACCCAAAATCACAGGTTGACTCATCCATCGATGAGACTCAAAGTGCACCATTACGCATATTTCAAGCCTGCATCAAGGGTCAAGCATTGCTAGCTGATTCGGATCTTCAATTAAGATTCTTAAATTTCCCAACTGTGAACTTATTGAACGTTTCCTCGATATCTGAGGTTAATATCAAATCACCTGATCACTTTTGTTCTGTTTCTCCGGGGAAACTTGTTTGATTTCTGTTATATAAGGGAAAGTATCCAAACTTTCTGATGTATGAGACTTGATAACAGTTTGGAGAATGTTTGGATCTTGAACACATGTACCTTTAACACAAATAATAAAAGTATTTCTGCTTGTTCATTACCTTGTAAAGTCCTGGTATGCCTTCATGTCGACTGATCTTCCACAGTGCATCCAACATACCTTTGTACATGTACTTGGCACCTTGTGATGTATGTAGCCGTACGCCTTTACTCATTCCTTCATATTGGAGACAAAGACGCGTCTTAGTCACCCACAGCGGATTGGTTATCAGTAACGTTAAAATACCTAGGGAAAAAAACAGACACACATTATATTCACAATGCACGTGGCTAGCTGGCAGACAGACGTGCTTATATTTGCGCTCATTTATAGCATTTTTATCCATTCTTAATTTTTTTTTTATTACTCATTTGCGTCAAACAGACTGATTGTGCCCACCAAGTCACGTGACCTACTGTAGCTATCACTCCCATAGCAAAGTGTGTTTTACATGTAAGTGTTGTTGATCAAAAGTGACACCCATTTTCGGTATAGTGCCCAGTACATCACCAGTCTGAGTACGGTACCTACAGCCAGCTTTATTTTTGGTAACTGATACTTATAAAACACTTTGCTTGCAGTGGATACCAAGTTTGTTGATAGGTCACAGGACTTAGTGAGCGCAATCAGTCTGTTCTCATGTTGTACCATAGTATAAAGCAAGTCTGGTCCGAGCCAATTTAGTTCATTAGGCTGGTGTCTATCTCCGGTTTCCTTGGCATGAAACAACTGAGAATATTTCTATTCCTCCTGGATGGGATGCCAGTCCATGGCAGGTTGCTTTTAGTGACATTTCGTGCATACATGTATGCCGGTGTAAAAATCATCATTTTTGGACTATTGATCCCATGGGAAACCGGTCACCTTAACTCAGTCCACAAAGAACTGGCCAGCCTACACTTGACCTCTGGGTGTTGCTGGTTTTTTCATTGGCTTGCTGTTACTTTTTGTCAACTGCAGCCCCTTCTCAGTGTCCAGAAAAGCACCTCAGCTACCCATCTTCATTACTTCACTGATCACACAAGCCCCGGTGGTGAGTTCGTTCCTTTTCTTAATGTCTCATTGCAAAAAGGTATTCAAACTGATTTACAGGCTAAACCAACCAAGAAGTAGGATCATGAATGCTGTCGTTTTTGCCATGTAATGACATTCACCTAAACTACAGCTCCAAATCACACAAATATCCTTGCAGAATCCACATAAAAAATGTGAAAAGTGACCAGAAAACTAGGGAAGGCAAGAAATGCCAGATTTGATTTCATAACAAATGTCATGTCTCAACCTCCTATACAATACAAACGTACTCTGTAAGTCTTAGTTAGGGAAATGCTGTCATGAGACAGTTCGGTATTCCAACAGCACATGCCCAAAATGAAGCACGTGGGCAGTCATTCGGGAACATTATGTGCGTGCCAGGTGTGCCCTATCAGCTCAGCCATAGGATGACTTGTAAGCATACTTAGTTCTCCGATGGCCATGCCTCTTCGGCATTAGTGTGAGAACCAGCACGCGAACCAACACGCACATGTACTCCATTTAAATTGCACTATACTTCCTGGTTCTAGTGACGTCACGCTTCAGTACTCTATAGTACTTTCGTTGCTAATGGCACGGTGGAAAGCAAGATAGCAAAAATAGTGAATGGCATGTGACTGGGTCGCAGCCAATCAAGATACAGCATCGGTAGGTGAGTTGTTATAACACATACCCGACTGTGTAGCTGCTAGCATGTGTGAGCCTGGCCCGAGCGGTTCTGGTCTCCCATCTTGCATGTAGGCTTTTATGGCATTGTAGCTGTCATAAACCACACACATACAGAAGCATAAAGAAGTACTCTCTACTTAGAAGGACATGACTATGGGGTGGCTTAGAACAAGACAAAGGCCCAGAGCCCTGGCTTCTGATTTAAATCCACTAATCTAAAACAAACCACTTTCATCCCTTTCATAAATACGTTGTTGGGAAAAGAGTACACGTACATGTAAGTCAATAATTCACATTATCCCAACTATTTTTACATCAATTTTACGTTATGCCCAGTAAAGCACCCCTAAAGTCATTTCTATGGTATGTACCTTGGGTGTGCAGTACAAACATCTATGCGTCCCTGAGGGACCAATCAACTGATCCATCAAGACTTATGAGAGTAACATTACTCAACTTCTCAAATATTTCATTTAAATCTAGGTAACATTTTGGTTCTCCTTAACACTAGTTATATTAATCTGAATTGGGTAATAATAATTAGCACAGGGAAGGACAAAAAGAAAATAATAAACACTGAGTAAGAGCCAACCAGCCAAACATAAAAGCTGACTAGGGATTGAAACCATGGTGTTATCAACAATGAATCCCCTGTACTTACAAGAAGAAGTACAGTCCCCAAGATGCCCCAGCTCCCCAGACATTGGGTACGGCTCCTTGATAAAGCCCTCTCCATCCATTCTGTCTGATGACTTGCTGGCAAGTATGAACTAGGCCTTGGTAAGTCGGACGAGTTGTATGGCCATCATTAACTACATTAAATGCACAATAAAATGAATAAGTCGCTATGCATATGTAATAATCCAATGACAAGCCATAGCCGCAGTGGCATTGTACTCATAATCTTGATGCCCTCGTACACGGTCGTACATTTTGAAAATTTATGAAACACTACCAGTATTGGTCGAAGAGACATATACAATGTAGGTCATCAACGCTGCCATCTACATGTGATTTAGTTTGTAAGTGACAGAGCTTGATGACTTTGCCCGATGTACCGATTATAAGAGCACACTGGCTAATATGTTAACTTCGTACAACTGGTTCTAGTAGTTCCCTTGCCGCACTATCTACATTTAAGTGGGCATAACATAAAGTTGCAAATGACATCACTAAAGAACAAAACCGTGATGCAACATGCCATGCATTGTATGTGTATACATTTGTAGATTTGATTGGCTGATGTTTTTAATCAGTGTGAGCCTTGAGCTTGACCAAGAGAGGGCACACTTTTCCTGGCGAGGAGGCTCCTTTGGTAGAAACTGTGCATCAATGGTTCACGAACGATTATGAAACACAAGTATTGCAGTAGTGTCACCAGATAATATGTACACTCCCGACAGACATGGCTCTTCTCGACCAATGAGGGGGTGCTTCTGCTCAAGGAGTCTGATGAGTCTGAAAGCCAAGTGCCAAATTTAAGAAATTTCAACTTATCGGACTTCAGCACAGCAGCAGAATGACACATAGACCAGGCCTTACTCTCTACACTCGTGCAAAAGGGTCAGTCTGCAAATTTGGAGTCCAATGTGACATATTTTTCTGTGCCTGTTACACCTGACCCGTGTAATTTGGCAATCCTTTTATTTGTTGGCGGGTGTCCTGCAGTACTTAATCACTCTTGGAAATAAAAAAAATGCGTTCTTAACTTACAAGTGGACAGGTAAAATAGCAGCTCAAATTTACAGAATGATCCCAAATGCAGTGTACAGTACGTATGTATCTGTACAGCACACACTTAAGTGGAGCTTGCATTTTTGGTCAGGATTGGAACATATATATGGACATTCTGCACAGCATTTCTCAACCAGTTGTTTGTAGATGATTCGGGGTGGTGTGTGTCAACTCATCGCTGCAGCTGGCCCCTAGAAACCAAAACTTAGCGATGTTACATTTGGTTCAAATTTTGCAAATTACTCTAGTCAAGACTTTGTACAAAGTACAGTAATACCAGTTTTTGATTTCTGTTTGCACTGAACATGTATATTCCATAGGAAAAAATAGGTGAAAAATGCATTGAGAACTTGAGATGCGAAATGCACCAGTAACCACAAGGTGGCAAGGTCTCTACTTTCCAATGTGTGGACCTATGGGAGGAACAATTCTGTCACCATAAATAGGGGAACATGTCTTTCCATTTCTTTTTTTCAGCTTTTTTACACTGGTGCATCTATTCCTATGAGGGATTGCCGCCAATTGCTGTACTTCTGCAGGTCTGGTATTTCTGTGGACTTGCTGGCTGGGGGGTGATTATTCAAGCACCAATGAGCCGTTGAGCCCACACGGCTGACCTTGGTAGATTTGTAGAATGTTTGTAATATTCATGTTTTTCAAATGTCTGTTCTGTTCACAAACTTCTCCAGTTGTCAACTAAGGGCTCTTTGGCACAGATGGGGCTGCACAATGTGGAAGCAGACTGTAACAGTCAGTTTTGGTGAGGCACCATAGCATAGCTCAATCAAAGTGAAACCGTAGCCTAAGTTATCAGGTGCCTGGCAGAAGGTCGTAAGCGCTTTTGCCAGGAAGCATAATCACTGCAATGAAATATACAGATTTCTTTGCAAATAATTACAAAAACATTTCCCAAATCATTTGATAAGTTGTTCAAAGATTGCTTTTTGCACAGCCTGTGTTGATTTCATAGTAAACTCTATCCCTTTTTACGAAATAAAGAGAGTGTCTTTCTTACGCCCTTTTACCGGGAACATTTTTTCTACTGTGATCATGCTTCCAGGCAAAAGGGCATAAGTGCGCTTATGATATACTACTCACCCTGTAACCTGACTTTGATCAAGTCTAACGGATGGAGAATAAGTGTCGATGTGATGCCGCCAGTGACGCCTGCCACCAGGTGTTCATACCTCAGTTGGCTCCACACAGTGAACAGACTTCTTCCAATATCATCTAGTACACCTGACATGACTGGTTCACTGTGATCACCTGGTTAAATTAAAAAGCTACAGTTGGTTATAGATTTAGGACTTCCATCTATGTATGCGGTTATAATGTACAGTAATTACGCACACTATGCATGTTGAACACTCACACTCACTTTGATACATACCAGTGTACTACTAATTCAAGTACATTCGTGTAAGGTCACTTCACAAATAAAGGGTCCAAAGCGGGTCACACTGGCCAAAATTTGAAAGCTATATGTATGTACATTCTTAGCCTGGCAGTGAAGAGATTTATGTTCCATGATGCCTGACGTACCACAGCTAAAAGAGGACAGGTACATGGCTTCATTTTGCACATACGTACAGCAAAACTTCGATTACCACACTGTCATTAGTCCTGCGGACACAAATGACATGCACAATGACGCACAACTGCCAATCATTTACTCAAATAGATTTGCGTATATGTAAATCTTGTCTGATTTACCCTTTGTTTGCTGAGTTAAATATGAGGTTCATGTATGGGGGTGAAGTATGGGACATTTTGGTGTCTTGCAAATGGCACAATGTTTATTTTGATTACTCATGGCACAAACTGGGTCATTTAGCACCACTGGGTCATGCATACGAAGAGAACAGATATTTTCCTTTAATAATGCAGTCCGTATAAATTGGACATGCATGTAGAATCCTGTCCAATTTCTTGTCCACTTGGCAGATAAAAGAAATCTAAATTGAGTGAAACAAAGATGTTGGTGTAGGGTGAGTTTGTCCACCTTTACGTGTGCCCCCAGCACTGTGCGGTTTGTCGTCTGCCATGAATAGCAGATGACAAACCCCTCAGTTCTAGGGATGCTGAGTGAATGTGGAAATGGCGTGGCGGAAGACAAACCCCAGTTCTTGTACTAGACCTACTGTATACTCCCAGAACTGTGAGGTTTGCCATCCACTGCACTCCCTCGTCGTCTGCCGCTTTCCCACGTGTTGCCCATTGTTCCAAGGTAGCCTAAAAGTACTAGGCCTACATGCCCTACATCATGTCTCAAGCCTAGTACGAAGGATTTTGTAAAATTTGAGCTGTTTACATAACCCACCATGCCCACCCTTTTTGTTAAGGGATAGTTCTATTCCTTCTGAAAGCAGAATTTTTCGATGCCAGACACATGGAAGCCTGCGCACTGTGTGATACACGCCAAGTGTGCGATGTGTTTGGATCACTTTCATCAGAAGAATGAGAGGATGGCAAGTAAAAGCTCAGATTTTTTCCAAGAAATAGTCAATCGTATGGTCTTAAACCCATTGGTCATCAGATTTAAAGAGGCTTCCCTCAGTTTCGATGGCTTTTGGGGAGATTTGATTGAGGAAAGTGGAATTTTCCCTTAAAATGTTATAAGGCCAATTAAAATTAATTCACTTACAAAACAAGTTTATCACTACCGCGTGACCGGATTTTCTCTACCACCCCAACTTTTTTTGATAAATATTCCCAACTTTTTAACAAATTTCCAGCCCTTTTCAACCTTGCAGATGTGTCTGCACAACAAAAATGGTCTTACGTTTTTTTTGGTTCCCTAGACTTGCCCTCAACCATGATTGATTGATCTGATCAAGCTGTTATGATACAGTACATGTATATGGAACACTCAAGTATGAAAATACTGTACAAGAAAGGTACTTTTAGATATGAAAAGTCTGGAAAATACAAACTTGAAATATCAAATATCATAGATCTAAGGTCATCCCTGCCCAAAAATATAGTTGTTAGTGATGATAAACAAGGAATTAATTTTAATCAACCTAACAGCTGTAAGAAAGTGATTACTTGTCCTAAAAAGATGAAATTTACCCAAAACAATTCCAAAGCATTTACAAGTACATGTACTTAGAAAACACTTACTTAGGCCTAGCCAGGTTTTTTCAGACAAGTCTCACACGTAGGTTTGTGGGAAAGAGTTCCATACATTTATATGTACACCACTTTACAACCTGTGCACAAAACCTATGAGACTGGTCTGAAAAATTGTACATGTAAGTGTGCTCTAAGTAAATGACTTGGTATTTTCCCTCCTAAATTGAACTTTTCTGGACATCTTTTTATGTTTGCTTTCTGATGGCTATTAAGTCACTGTAGGGAAGAATTACTGGCATCTGTACAGAACTCTTCCTGGTTTGTACACTGCGGGCATCAAGTGTTGTCCGTATACATGTACATGGAAGTCTTTCAATCCAGAATTTTGTAAACGTAAATTTACCCCGATTTGACATACATGTAACTGGGCTGCATTCAAAACCAACACTAGCCATAGTATTAAAACCCATAAAAAATTGTCCGACCACAAGGACAAGCTTACCCCCCATAACACTGTGGGGTCCGACGTCCGTCCTGTTCCAACAAGGGAGCAGAGGGGATGTCAGACCCCACAGTTCTGGGGGTAGGCCAAGCCACCCTAGGCCTAGTAATAGGTAAACAATTGGCATAGATGATTGAGTAGGCCTAACTCAGGCTTAGCGTGAGTGCATGCAGTAGGTACAAGAATGGGGATTGTATATTTGGGGGCGCTCCAGTGTTTTGTTGTTAATCTTGCAAACCGGGTAAGTCTCCCCAAAAAACAAAGACAACACTCTCTTCATTGCCCTGACCCTATTTTTCTGAAATTTCAAATTGTAAATTGTGAGAAAATGTGACTCTTTCCCCTCAATTTCCCTCAAAACTCAACCCCCTGCCCTCTTTTCACAACATCAACCCTACAGTTATTAAGCATGATGTCACAGTCATCTCCCAAGGTAAATTCAAAAGGTAAAATGTAGTTCTTTCTTCCATTACAGTAAAAGGGTCCCCAATTTACAATCCCCACAACACAAGCATTGCCAGTTGGCGAGGAAAGAGTTCCAACTCCCATAATAATAACCATATATACGGACGCCAGTAATCATTCCCTACACTGAGTGACCTATTAGCCCTAAGAAAGCAAAAACATGTTCAGAAAAGTTCAATTTGATAGGGAAAATACTGAATCGTTTACTTGAAAATACTTAGGCCTTGAATTTTTCAGACCACTCCACATACATAAAATTGAAAGGTTAAGTGCACAGGATATAAAACGGCGTCATTCTTTCCATTGGCAGGTCTACAAATTGTACAATATGGTTTATTTTTACTTAACTTTTGGCAGATGAAGATAAACAGTTAGTTAAACATACCAGGTGTATCAAGTAGTTAGCTTTTAAAAAAACTTAGGACTGGCGCTCATCTGGTCGTGTTCAGAAGTACATGTACGTCACTTGTCCAGACTAGCCACACGTTCCGATTTCCTCCCGTATACCGTCGACGAGTCGAGTACGAGTTGGACATTGAACGGAAAGGAGATAGAACGCAGCCGGGATCTTTGCGGTCTAGGAACCAGACAGCGATAAACAACACGTGGATCTCGGAGATGATTAGTATGCGACGTGCTACGAGCACCCGACCAGCTTCATCGTGTGTGTGTGTGTGACCACGAACTTACGGGTGCACAGAATAGAACTACATGTACATGTAATTCAAGCTCCATTGGAAACAGTGTTAAGTCAACAACATTTGGCCCCATTGCGGACGACTGAAGTCCCTGACTGACCTCTCAAACAAAAAACCCACGTTATTTGGTCCTTCAGATTTCATTTGATCTTCAAATTTTAGTAGGTTAACTAATAAATTTTTTAATTATCCGCCAACAACAAACTCATCTCCCCCCAAATGTGAACGTTCCACAATCTTCCCAGTAGCCATTTTTCAAATGACACGATCCCTCACCTTTTGGGGGCTCTTCTGGCAATTTTTGACATTTTTGTCTGCTTTGCCCCAAATGGAAGCCCCTGAATCTACAGAGATAATCATGGGCTACTTACACAGTCCCACAATTTTTTGGCCCACACAGACTCCTCTTTCGAAAGAATTTGCAGGGGTACTTTTAAGCGCCTCCGCCTGGCGGAGAATTTTCCTTAGTTGCATCCTTATAGAAGCCACTACGGTCATTTTCTTCAGAGATATGGCGGACATGCGTGGTGAAAATGCAATCTTCAGTGGTCATATCAATATGCTAAGAAAGTTTATGGGATAATAGGCCCTAATACATAATACATTCATCTCTCCTGACCGTTTTCAAAGGTGCGATATGCCTGCAACTTAACCTTTATGGAGTTGCCTAATCTGCTTTCGACAGATGACCCACTATTCTCAAAGTAAGAATGTGTATCATACCCCATGGAAGAATGAAAACGCATTCCTCCACGCATACGGTTACACCATGGTCTTCATCATCAATTGGATGTAATTATTGCTAAAAAATTCTCTTGTTCATATATTGCTGTGTGCTGCGGCGACTGCACTGATGCAGTTTTAAATTGAGGCATTGCTTACCGACCCCGGCAAAATTGTTAGTGGTTAGGACGTCTTCACTCATGGCCTAAGCAGGAAGTCGTGAGTTCGAGTCGCACCATGGTATAATTGTGATTTTTTTTTCGCAAACTGTCGGGCAATTGAACACTGAGTATATGGTGTTATCCTACGTCAGTGAAAGAGCAAAACCTGTCCAGGAATTTTGGAGTTACTAAGTTACATAATTATCACTTTATCTAAAAAGTAGACTTTTCACAATCGGTATGCCCCATCCAAAGTGTAAATCAGCCGACAAAAATGATGGATCTCCATTGGCCTAATCCCAAATTGCCGTTGCATAATGATATATACATTTGAGTATTGTGGTTATCAGAAATGTAAATTTCAAATAGAAATTTTTTTAACACAACACCTGAAAAGTCAAGGTTTGAAAAGCAGCGAATATAATGATACTTTAGTGTAAGCCCAGAATTAGTCAGCATTGGTCAGTCACGTATATCCTTGACCCTACCTCTGTTTTATGTCTCGGTAAATAAAATCCTAATGAAGTTTTTGTTGCGGTGAATTTGTGTTGGTCATGGTTTCACTGAAATCTGAGGAATTTTTTCCAGACATCTAGGGGATATGTGTTTGGTAAAATTAGTCTAGATTAAGTATAGCGATTGGATATCTTGGGGGTATCCCCTCGGTCTCATTTCTTGCTGGACATATAGGCCTTACCACCAGATGCAGGTCAAAGTCTTTCCCATAGTATTCGATTTAAGTATCGAACATTTTGTCCCATACCTGGAATGGGATTCTAAAAGAGACTTTTGTTGCACGTTACTCACGTACACGATATAATAATGACTTGAAGAAAAAGCTGAGGTTTCTTGCAAAATGTTTACGCATTCGAATGAAGCTTCTGTTTAAAAAAAATGTTTTAGCGCTACTTCTTCATAAGGGCAGAAAGGAACTCTCCAAAGAGTGAGTCCCTTATAAAACCACTGCAAGCACTGGCAGGTGGGAACTACTCTACAAAGAGTGAAAATCACTCAAAACAAGGAGCTGCATAAAGGACAACGCTTTTTTTAACTTGTTCCTTATTATGTGCTCCTTGGAAGAGTGGAAATTTCAATCTTTTGAAGTGTCTTCACTCTTTTTGAGTAGTTTTCATACACTCTTCGGGAGTAGTTTTATAAGGGACTGACTCTTTTACAGGGACTGACTCTCTTACATTTAGAGAGAGTTTAAATATGCTTCTTTTTCTGGAAAATGATTTTTGAAATGCGAAATAGCTAAATAACGCTAATTCAGAAGGCTTTCTACTTAAGTTCGCTCGGAGTGTTTACTAATACGGAATCAAAGGTGACCGTCGTCGAGTGCCCAAAAGAAGGTCGTAAGGGTGAAATGGGTTAAAAGGTCAAATTTAGTTTTGGGGGGAAATTAACAGTGCGTTGAAATATCTTGCATTTGGGACACTTCTTGGTTCAAGGGGCTACGTCATCCTGACCAGCCTGGCGTAAAATTTAATCTCAGTTTGAATAGCGGGTGAGGGGGAGTGATGCCACATGATTCTATATTGTCGATGTTTATGATATTAATGTACATCTGTAATATGTATTCAGAATGGCATATTTATGGCTTGTTAAAAAGGTTTTCTTTTTTGGGGTGACATTAAATGCACTTTAGTCGGCGAAAGTTTGAAAATTCTTCACAATCCACTTTAATTTTTTGTTCACCACAAAAAGTATGTGTGTGGGGGGGGATTCAATAGCCCCCCCCCCCCAGGTGGGGTGATTATGTACCCCCATCCTCCCAGGAGTAACGCCCATGATTAGGACGTCATTAACAAAATGAAAAAGGACGACATGCGGTTTTTATTACTTTTGCCCGGAATAAGGACGTTACCACTTAATATATGCAACAGAATATGAGCTAGCGTCCCACTGAAGTGTACAGACACAGAAAAAGTCAAAAGGTCGTTAGGATTGTTGGGCCTACATGTTGCTTTAGCGCACATTTTAGACATGAGGAGTTCCCAGCAAAAGGTCGTCAGCATAAAAACCTAAATTACTGTTAGAAATCAAGGCTTTTTTACCCATAATAAGGCACAATATTCTTTTAATCATCAACAAAACCTCACCACTCTGAAATTAGGACTTCTGTCTTTTTCTATTTACAAATGGGAACCCCAGTACTTTAAAACTGAATATCTCAAAAAGTAATATTTGCGTGCCTTGGCTGTTAATGTCCTTTTCCTTGGCACATGACGCCGCCATATACTCTGATTATGATAAATGGATTATTTTGTCCTTCAGAGCCCATTTAATATCATAGGTCAGAATCTACATGCTTCCTGTGTTACCAGTGTATAATCTATCTTCAGTGTCTTCGGTGTCTGTATTAAAGCAGTCATCAACGCCGAGTTACTGTCCTTAATCGGCCTATACACCACGCAACGTTAACGCCATCAACTGGTGATGCAGTTCCAACTATAACATCCGGAGTTTGTACATGAGGAAATGACCCAGGCACGCCCGGCCAACAGAACATCTGCACGTAGGCCTATATGCATGTAATTACTTAAAAAGTTCCGGGACTTGCTTCACTTGGCGTAACAATGGTCAGCTGAGTAGTCCAGTGAATACAGAGAAGTGGGCATGCAAAGTTTTGGTTTTTCCCTGAGAAGTACTGCTGAGTTGTGTCCAGTAATTCACATCAATTTCTCGGAATCATGCATGAGTTGTCTCTTCTGGGTTTATACAGAGGACGTGCAGACTGCGTTCAGCCGTCATAATTATATACCACGGTGTCAGACAGTGTATCACATTATTTCTTCGAGACTCTGTCAACTAACACGAGCTTCACGGTGGCACAGGCAGCTGGTAATTGGCGTAGCAAGAACTGAGAGTCTTCACATTATTTTGGAACCTGACCTGGACACAAAATATCAGATTTTACAATGCCATATTATCATCTTATTACCACGGCCATTCTTATCACTGGTCTTGCTGGCATCACATCGGGAACTGCTACGTGGTCTACAGAAGGTATGTTCATCTGTCATGAATTATCTAAACTTACAAATTTTTCCGCTTTCTGCCCTCTGAGATGCCTGAGCAAGTGAATGACTTGTATATGGGGAAGGCGAATTAACCCCACTTATTCCGACTTAAAGACGACTTCTGCCCTCTGTGGCGTCTTTACTGTTCCCACTGCCCAAAAATATTTTATTAAAATGAGACAAATCATTTGGCCCAGGAAATTTATGCCACTTATTCTTGAAGACCACTTCTGCACTCTGTGGCGTCTTTACTGTTCCCACTGCCCAAAAATATCTTAATAAAATGAGACTAATCATAAGGCTAAGAAAATTTATGCCACTTAATCTTCAAGACCACTTTTGTAATGTGTGGCGTATTCGTTTTTCTGAAAATATCATTATAAAACGAAACAAACCATTAGGCTAGGAAAATTTATGCCTTCGGTTGCATACATGTTTCAAAATAGTTGGGGACAGTCAGGGATTTTTTTACTCAATATATAAAGGTGTATTTTACACCTGGTGAAACCACGAAATATTTCATTTACGAAATCCATCAACAATTTGCCGATGACAAAGTTTTAAAAGTATACGTATAAACTAATTAAAAGAAACATATATACAACTGATGTTTCATAAAATGAAGGAAATGCCGTCTTGTTAGGGGCATCAATAACAGCCATAGGCCTAATGGTCAAAATCTCGCTGTGTCAGCGTGCCAAGACAGACATTTTGATCGGCCACCGGTGCGTACACAAAGCGAGGTTATGTAGGGAAATCACGCTCTGCGGTGATCGCTACAAAATCGTTTCGTCTTGAAATGAGTTAGCGATCTGGGAAAATAAACACAAGGGTCACAAAGATCGAGTGAGAGCGACATGTCGGTCGCAGGAATCTTCAAAAGTTGGCGATATCCATCCGTTTTAAGTGATGTCCATGTGACATTTTTCACGGCGTTAAACTCGAACGTGCCATGGAGCTGCTTGACGTACCCAGTGCTCCTGACTGCTTGGCTTCCAGCCTGCCGTTCCTGCATTCATTACATGTAGCACTGCATACCACACCATTTCAAATAGGCCCAACTGACCTCCATTTACGTTTACATGCATACGTGCAGCATCGGACCCGGCATCCAAACTCCGTCCCATCCTGCGCCTCCCTTTGGTCAGGAGACTAGACGGAAAATATGTCAATGCCGGCGTTCACTTCCAAAAAGAGTTTTTCCGTGTGTTTTTCCCCCAAATTCAACGTTCGGGAAAAACACCCGTTTTTGTAGTTGATTCAACTTAACAGGAATAAGGTAATCGCTGCATGCATAGCAATGCCACATGCCTAGAGAAGGGCGCTTATGAGAGTCTATAAAGAAAATTTTCAAGTTCTTATTATAGCACAAAAGAACTTTGAATACTATGCACATTTGCATCTGTGGTATAAAACATGAACACCAAAATTAACTGGACTTGGATCATTCTTTAACGGAATGCGCCTAAAGCAACCTTGGACTTGAGTTTGTAATCATTCCTGGACTAATTCATCAGAAGGTACTGGGGATCGCACTTGACTGTATAACGCGGTAATTTTTCAACCTTTACAGAAGCATCTTAAATGAATTTCGAGGCAAGTTCTCATCGAGAGTCGGTTCACTTTTCATAATGTTAACACAGCATTAATTGGAACTAGTCATTTCTGGTATGAGTCTTTAAAGTAAGCGACTTCGACACTACGTGAACCTTTGCCCTATTTGTTTTGTTTTGCAAGAATGGTGCCCGTCTTTACCGTTCTGTTTCGCATAATGGTCCTTATAAGCTCCGTTTCACCAATCTTCAGTAACAGTCTACGAACTTTTTCGAATTGTTGCAAAAGCATTTTTGATGGTTTTATTGCGCTTACAGTCAATCCATTTCAAACCTTGATATGTTGTAGGAAAACCTTTAAAATCCGCGTTTATGCTGAAAAGCGTGGCAATAACCCACGTTCACATTTGGCTGCATATTCATGCAGAAACAAGGTACAGTGTCTGATCCAGCCTAAATGAATGATAGGGCTGGATATGTGAACAAATGCAAATAATATTTTTAAAAGGAGCTGAGGCCGCGAGCCAAATCCCGTTGTGATGTACTCCATATTTATTAGAATGTATTAATGTACACATTAGCTTCACTTAAAAGATCCAGTTCGCACTGAGAACAGACTAACGGCAATATAAACGGATTTCCGCGTTATGTATTTGCCATTTAATTTTCCACTGTGTAGTATTTTCTAAAAACTGCGAGGCAGTCATCTAATCCATTAGGCTTGCTGTCTTTCCGTTTTGAATAGGCAGGATAAGCGCCACACCGTATAAACCAGAAGTTGACGAAAATAAAACCACTTGCCCTTACAATGGCAATTTTATGGCGACTCAGTGTACATTGAAATCTCATTATAGTTTTAAACCGTAGATAAATTCTTCATTTTTCGATCTATATACATTGTATTTTTTTTTCTATTTTGGGGGGAGGGTTGTAATGGTGAAATTCAGATTTAGTTTCTTTTCGGTAAAGCTTGTGCCGGAGATTGCGCTTAAGGTTACAAATTCGTTACATTCTGTCTCAGTTATGAGTATCTCGAACACAGTTCATACATTGCAATACAATTGCTTTTGTTTCATTATTTAAATAAATAAACTTTACAAAACGCCAGTAACACATGACTGAAGCTGGATATGTTCATTTAGAATCTGTGACCCTGAGCACTGTCCCGAAAGCTCTTTTTATCAACTGTAACTAAATCACTTCAACTCGACTAAAACTATTCCCTGCACCAAAAGAGTGTCATTTATTGGCTATCATTCTCTTTCCGACAAGTTAGCAGAAACATTAGCGTTGCCTTTATGGGTCCATTGTGAGTAATGTTTTCGTGTTTCTGTGGTGGCTTTATGGAAACGTCGCAAATGGAAACAAATCGCGACAGAATAGACTTTTCCAAAATCGTAAATACTGACGCCGAATGTGCTTGGCCCAAAAAAATGCACGTCTTGTTCTCCGGTCTCCCGTTTTTCTCTACGGGAAGCCAGGTATTAAGTCACTGCAATGTGCGCATGAGCACAGAGCTTACCCTTCAGACTTGAATTTTAAGATGGTAACTGGCTGGTTTATATGTGAATAAAGCTACTTTCAGCGATCAACGTCGGCTAACACACACAACGCCATCACACCCCACATTATGTGGACTTCTTTTGTGCAGAGGTAGGTCCACACTATTATGTATGCCACGCCCTCACATTCTCCTCCACATGACGTAAGGGCCTACAGTCACACTGCAAACATTGTGTTTAGAGATTAAACCTTTTTCTTAAAATACTTTTTTTGCTAACCGTTTTTTTAAATGTATACCGGTAGTTAAGCAATAGTGATTGACAGTATGTGGTGTTGTCCATGGAATAGCTACGACTGAGGGAAAAAACACACGGGTATATGACATGACATTTCAGACATTTATTTCCTCTTCTAATAATAGCGATAGGCCTACGTAATGCAGTATTAAATAGTCATAAGGTATTAACCAAACAAATGTATTAAATCATCATGAAAAAGACAAAAAGAGGGGGGCAAAAAGCCTAAAAAGCAGAGGCTTGTGTTAGGCCAGCTCATTTAACAAATTACGTACAAAACATTCAAATACAAACAAACAAAAAATTCAACACTCTGTAATCACAAAGTGATGAGCGAATGAAATCACGGACCCTCGATGAAATGAACGATACGGAATGAAAACTGAGGACATGGACCGACATAAGAATAATTAATCAAGATGAAGGTTTGTACAGAGAATGGCGCGTTATTACAGTAGATCAGATTTCAGTTTTCAAGTATTGTAAGATTTAGATTCTCTGAGGGAAAGTGGCAAAGTGTTCCAAAGTTCATGTCCAGCATATTTAATATTTTTTTGGAAGGCGGATGTCCTATGTTGGGGTATGTGAAAATGTAGGTCAGAAGAGGCTCGAGTTTTGTAACTGTGAAGGTTTAGGTTAAATACAACCATATTCATATAGGAACGAGGCAACAGTTTTTTGTAATATTTATATGGGCCTAAAGTGTTTACGCTAATAACTATGACGTCTATAGTTGAGAGAAACGTGAATTTTTTAAAGCAAATACTGATATCAATATTTATTCGCGACTTGGACTCGTCGTGAATTTTGTTCTCACTTTGAGGTTAATATTCACGATCTGCGTTAACCTGATCGTTTTCAAATCGTGACAACATAAATATAAATACCCAGTTTTATGATCCACCATTCTTTTTTCCAATTACATCCAGCCCACACCACTCTATCGAGCGCCAGCTGTGTTTAAACAAGTCAGAATTAAGTATATTCATTGTGATATAAGTAATAAGTTTGCCCTTCAAATGACTGAGAAGATGTACTACAGTGGAAGACAAACGAAGCACTTTTAATTTATTGTAAAGACAGCAAGTGCCAGAATTATTAGATATCTGTTTATACGAGTAGGCTGGTTTGTTATTTCAGGCTCTAGAGACACCAGGATTCTTGGCACTGTTTAAAGTGCAGCTTCAGGTCACGACCATTAATCAAGTCCAAACCATAGTTCTTAGAAGACTGGTCTGAAAACGTTCGGTAGATCCAGAATTTAAAAAAAAATTGAACCAGTTACCATATTGCGCATGCACCAATAGTCATATATACACCCACTCAATGTACAATCCATGTACATACCGTCCAATCAATCTTATTTTTAAAATCGTAGAAACAGGAGATACGAACACGTCACTAAGAACCGATTATACAAACGAGATACGAACACGTAACTAAGAACCGATTATACAAGAAAAAAGAAATACGAACATTTGACTGTTTTACTTTTTCATCTATTAAAAGAAACAGGCAAAACAAAACCTTTACCAATTAGCGTTTTAATGAGGAAAGCGAACTCTTGACAATTTCTTTGTTCTTTAATCATCGTACAGATACAGGAAAAACGAACCCTTCGCGCAATGCATTTTGACTCTGTAAAACAGAGAAAAACGGAACCTTTCTAGTATTGTCGTTACTTTGCAGAGAAAAGGGAAAATCTAAACCTTTTTCGCTTTTTTTAATTTGTTTCAAGAAAAAACAAACCCTGTCCCATTTACTCTTTACCGATCTGCATTTAGAAAAGAGGAAGTGTTTCGAGTTGCAGTTTTCCCCTTTCAAATGCGTAAAAAATATAAATATACCGTTTTTCAGCAAGCTGAAATACAGGAAGTGCTAAATATTTACTTCATGTTGATCATCGTCTATTCTCAAATGCACATGCACTGCTCATGGAACAGGGGCTCAAATAAACACAAATTTCTGTCAGGGACAAACTCCAAACTTCACCACCAGATCATGAACACACGCACTAATCAAATATTAAATGAAAATACAAAACTATGTGTCCATTTTGTACGAAACTGAAGTAAAATCGAATACCACCCATATTTCTGCAATCTTTGGCCGCCCATACAAGTTGTAGGCAAAAATGACTGGTTTATCCACTCCGAGCGGAACAAAAGAGGGCGTATTTTTTGGTACTCACCCATTGATCTCCATTATATAAGGTGCGATCGATTAGCTTCCCAAAATACACTAGTGTTACACCAAGGAAAGCCTCGAAATGAAGCTAATCAAACGCTGCAGTGTATTTGCCAAGGCAATCTGGGAAAAAGGTCAAGTCCCCGCTACATTCCATCATGTCATGACCGTGCCAGCGCTCGAACAGTCCATCCATGACGTCATGACACTCGGGCAGCCTCCAGAGACCCGCTCGCCAGCTGGGTAGTGGTGGCTGACACAAGGGCAGGCACAAAGATCACGTAACGGCTAAACGAACGCTCTCGTGAAAGTTTGACTTACACGTGTAAGCTAATCGAACGCACCTATAGAGATCAATGAGCTCACCGCATATAGGCGCGCCATGAGGCGCGCAATTATATGCGCGTTTGACGCGGAGCAGACTGAGTACGCGTTACTAATTTATTCCGGCATGTATGGTCTTTGCGTACGCGCAGAACACGTGCAAGAACCCGCTTAATACCCACCTGTCGTTCTTTCGCCGATTGGGGGTGCACTTCAGCTCAGGGCGGATACGTATAGGCTCTACTAGCTGCGACGGACAGTCGGGAAAGTTGGATCATGTTCAATATTGCTACAGCAAGTTAGGGCCATGCCTAAAGGGCTTGGCTGCTACAAGCCATGTCTGAATCGGGCTACATGCCAGTGCACCTCGGGGTATTTCCAATGAAGCGAAGACCTAAATGTTGTAGACAACAGATGCAGATGCAGCCTTATACTAAAAAAATGTGCTGCTTGTATATTTATACAGCATTGCAGACCAAAAAACCCCCAAAATTCTGGTAGCCAGTGAGAAACGTTTCACCCGAACAAGTACGTTAGGTCTACATTTTCAGGAATTGATTGCGCTGGTTTGAAATTCCATCAGTGATGTTGAGAAAAATTCCTCACAACCTTCACAACCACATCAAATGACAGGCAAATTTCCAGCTACCCCAATCGTTATCTTCTTTGTTTTCACGAACAGGCGTGTCAAATGTCTCACTGTCGCCCGACGACCAAACGACGCCCTTTGAGGGAGGTCTCCAATGCGTCTACTACAATCACACATTCTGCAACTTGACAAGGCGCAGCTACCACTGCACTGAAAGCGTTGAGTTTTGTCCCAGCGATGGAGGCCCTCCTCACTGTTACGCGTCTTGGACGACGACACAGTCTGGTGACGAGATAATGATGAAAGGGTGTCATACAGACGGTTGGGACGAATTTTGCATGTCAGCAGAGAATGGTAGATGTATCCCACAACAAGATGGCGAAAGAAAATTCTGCTGCTGCTCAGGGGCAAACTTCTGCAATAACGTGACGGCCAACGCAACTATAAAAGGTAAAAACTCGACTGCTTCAACAGAGCATTTCAAGAAAAGAAAAAAGCAGTTAACTCAAGGTTGTAACCTTGCTAGTTTGAGTACTTTTGAATCGTTCAAAACGGTGTGAATGTTAAGTCAGTCTTGCTTCATCTGTATGCATTTAAGAAAACATTTTGTAACAGGAAAGTGGGCTTTAATCAAGTTTAAATGCAGATTTTTAAGACTCGACAGATTTTTATCTAGATTTTAAAACTGGGTTAAACATGAAGAACCATTTATCCATCTCTTTTTCCAGTTACTGTAGGGAATGGATCTGCCGATGTTTGCAAAGAGCAACATTCGTGCCAGGCGATAGGATGCGGGCCTGCTATGAACGCAGCTTGCAAATGTGATAGTCTGTGCCCTTTCTTCAACGACTGTTGCTATGACTATGAGGAGATTTGCAGTGATGAGGATGAAGTTAGCAGCTTCGGGCTGAGAGAGGGCGGTAACTACACATGCGTTGGTAATTCCCTCATGCAACAGGGATACTGGCTAGTCACATCTTGTCCTGGGTCATTTCAAAATGAAGAAGTACTCAACAAATGTCAGATATCAGACCCTGACAGTGTCCTGGCACATGTACCAGTTAGTGACAACATGGGAATTCCTTACCGTAACGTTCACTGTGCAGTTTGTAACGGTATTGATGCCACCGCGGTAAAAGCTTGGGAGGTTCAAGCGATGTGCAATCCAAGCAGCATTCAACACGTCATACGGAATGAAACTACTTCTCCTGAAGAGAAACTTGCAATGATAGCTCAAAAATGTCCTTTAAAGATAGATTCCCAAAGCTTTCCAATTCAAATCCCCAAACCAAGATCTTGTTTTTCAGATCTTATAGGAATGTGTACTTCAACTGACCTTCAGCGGATATTTGGAGCTGGTTGTAGTTCATACACAGCCGTAGTCAATGTTGGGAACACTTCTTACAAAAATCCACATTGCTTTCTTTGTAACCATGACTTGTCCAGAGCACCTGAAATTAACTGCAGACGTGAACAAGAAATTCCACATTACGAAAAACAGAATGGACCTTCGGTCTATGGAGGGGGGCCGGAAAGGATTCTTCCAATAGGTCCTCGTATTGTTCCCATATCAGTCTTGATGGACTTTGGATCAGATAAACTGAGACTAATGCGGAAAGAAACGGTGCTCCAAGAGGAGACGATGACATGTCCCGAGGGCCAAGTCTACAACCCCACTCTAGCATTATGCCAGCATCTGGTTTGTCCAGATGGATACAGGCTTGTGAACAGAAGGTGTAAGAAAGATGCTGAAACTATTCCATCCGAGTCTGACCTGAAATGTGCTGAAGCTACCGATTTCCAATTGATATTTCAAATGGAAATGAATGACTACCAAGCTGTCGACTGTAGCAGTAAAGCAAAGATGGTTGAGCTTGTCCAGTGCGTGCAGAACACAACACAAGAAGCAGTTAAGGGAGAATGGAGCAGATTGAACAAATCAGATTACGTGCGATGCTTAGACGAGAACACTGAAAAAACCTTCAAATTACTTGAAGCTGTATTCTGCATTAAGAATGATTTCCATAAACATTTTTTGCTCCTTCATTCTTTGGACAGTCGAACACTAAACGACATGATAAGAACTTGTTCTCTAAATATACTCCAGGTAGCACAGCATGCTAAATATAACTGCAGTGGACAAACCACGCAAAGAAAGAGTTTCTTGGTGAACACCAGGAATTATTCATCTCCCCTACAAGATCATAACTTAAGCAACCAGCATATTGACGAATATAAATTTGGATCAGGCATAATCACCGAGTACAAGTTAAATAAATCATCTGGCACAGTTCACAAGATGACAACTCTCGAGTACTGCTCCGAGAATGCGAGTGTTTCCTGGACTTGTCCTTTGGTAGCTCTCAGTCGCTCTTTATTTAAACAGGTGGACAATGTCAGTGAAACACTCCAATATTTGCCAACAGGTGACGTCTACGAAAAGGCGGATTACATGTACCAAAAAGATGGCACTGTCCTGGTCTGCTTAACCCTGGATTACACATACACCCAACTCAGCAATGTAACCTTTTTCCTCTATTCAAACACGCAGGTCATTTTGAGCACCGCTGGTACTTCGTTGTCGGTCGTTGCATGTGCAGTAACACTTCTGACATACACTGTTTTTCCTGTCCTTCGTAAACGGTCAGGTAGCAAGTCGATTATGAACCTGATAGTAGCACTGTTGATTGCCCAGCTTCTTCTACTGGTGAATGGTCAAGCCACCAACATCCCTTGGTTGTGTGCAGTTGTTTCGGCTACGGCCCATTATTTCTGGTTGGCCGCCTTCTGTTGGATGAACGTGTTATCATTGGATTTGTGCTACACGTTTGGAAGTATTGCTAAACTACAGCGGTCTGTCAGTGATAAAACAATCTTCCTCCTGTACATGATGTATGCATGGGGATTGCCAATAATTGTGATAGTTCCTTGCATCGCTGTTCACATCTGCGAGTGCACTAGCCTTCAGTATGGCAATGAGTACGTGTGCTGGATTGTTGATAGTGCGACTGTACAGGAGGGAAGTGGTTACAGCAACCTGCTGGCATTCGGTCTTCCCATTGCATTGCTGATACTGATTAACATTGTACTGTACGGTTTGACTGTGGCTGGAATCAGACAGACCAAAAGCACTACAGCAAGAATGCAGATGACAGTGAGTGAGGCATCCAAGACAAAACGCACGTTGAAAGAGCTGTTCATATACATCAAGGTCAGTTGATTTTTTTAATTTTCTAACAAGGTTGTGCAAATGAAACATACTTTGGCTTAAACGTCTATAAAAATTTGGTTTGGGAGTGCTCCTGTACCACTACATATCTGTTAGGATTACAGTTGGTATATATTACCATAAACCTGAAGGATGAAGGTCAGTAGACAGAATCTAAAAGATCTTGTTGTGTATAAACCACTTTTCCTCTTTGTTGTACATGTATGATGTACATGTACGCCAACTGGTTCTTCTGCTCACACACTGAAGCATTATATGCTCAAAGCATTACAAACCCAACAGACCAGTATGCTTGGCTTTTAAAGAGGATATTGACTGGACCCCGATTGATTTCTTTATAAAAACTTACAGCAGACCCAACGGATAATTGAACAGTCCTTGTAATAGTCTTCTGTTGTCTCGTCTGGCATCCAAAGCCAATCTAACAATTCATGTTATACATGCAAATTAGGTATCCAACAAATTATTTCAACAGTTAAAAACAGCAGTCCACATTCTTTTAAGGTCCAACAAAACCGATCCCCTTTGTACAGTTCTACTACACTCTCTGAATGGTAGCAGACCTGCACCACATACACTAGCTTGAAACTGCTGCACATGTAGATAGTGTACTGTGGTTACATTTTTGTACAGGCACTCAGGCACATGTATGGTGGCCAGGGGAGGACATCGCCAATCGTCAATACTGACATCAGTATTGACGATGTCCCTCCAGGACCACCATAACTCAGGCAAGATGCATGCACATGCACAACTGTTGTCCAGAAAGCAGACACCTGAATACGTTTTACATAAAGTGTCATGACCTGTAGCCAACACAACTAAGGTCGGATTCATGATCATTTAGCCCTGCTCCATGATGTTTTGAACAATCTTGCTATAACAATCTGGGGCACAACATGTGACACTGGATTGGAGAGGCAAGCTTAATGGGTTGATCCCTTGATATGACACCCCTATTTGAAACATGCATATAGTATATAGATAGTTGTGTAATAAAAAATGTTGGGGCTTTTCATTTCTCAAAGACACTGTACTAACAGTGAGATTCATCACGTTTTATTTCACTTGCACAGATTGGCAGCTTGATGGGGTTTTCCTGGGCCTTTTCCTTTGCGGCAGCATTCAGTCATACAGAGTCTCTGTGGTACGTTGCTATTGTTCTTAACTCATTACAAGGAGTCTTCATCTTCATGTCATTCACGATGAACTCGCGGGTCTGGAACCTGTGGAGGAGAAACCTGGTTGGGGAGAAGAGGCAAAAGAGTGGAATCACTAAAAAGAAGGAGATGCAGAGTAGTGATGCTGCCGTAACTCAGTCCACATCACTTCTTAATGCCACCAAGGAAGAAGCGCATCGTACAGTCAAACAGACAAAGAAACATATGCAAACTCCCATGTAGCACAAAACAAGCATTAATTCTGCACTTTAATCCTAACAATCTTCAGTCCTCCAACAGGTGAAGGATTGAGGACTGTTAAGGTTAAGGATGAACTTTTACCGTACATGTACATGTAGTTACCGTATATTAACACTAAGGCAGTGGGAATTCTCATGGCAGAATTTGTTTGGCTTACCATACACTGCCACAATTTTTTTTAGCAATATATGTACAATAAATGCAATATGACAGAGGTACATGTACCTGTATATTGCCTTTACGTACATGTAGTCAAGACCATTACAAGACTAGGCACAAGATCTTTCACAAGACCACTCACAAGACCATGCACAAGACCTGTCACAAGACCAGTCACAAGACCAGTCACAAAACCAGTCACAAGACCAGTCACAAAACCAGTCACAAAACCAGTCCCAAGTAACAGTGACAGTGTGAACAATGCTTTTTGTTGCAGTTCATTTGAATACCGTAGCTTGTGACTTGAATTCAGACTGGAGGTCTTGTGTTGGTGTTGTAATGGTTTGTTCCAACCCTCCTTCCAACTCTGACTGATAACACCAGTGGTGACTGTGTGGGTAAGATCCAATGGGTGGAGGTAAAAGGTAGAAGCTGATCCCGGCTTGCGTAAATAGGAGGTGCATTAATTTGTCAGTTTAAGCGTGTTTCTTGCCCAGCACACATAGATGTACATACTGTATAGCATCAGCCCTCCCCCAAAAAGTGTATGCAATGTTGACGCCCCTCCCCCAACATGTACACACTTTATTGTTACTGGCTTATTTAAATAATGTATTCATTCACCTCAGACTTTCACTAACAGCAATCTTTGCATGTATTTGATTCTACAGGGTTTGTATGGCTGCCTTCTTGCATGCCAGTGCCTTTGTTCCCCAGAATATGTACAAAGGTTTCCAAGTGGAACAAAAGGATTGCCCTGCAAGATGGCTTCCATGCAAAGCCTCTAATCTACGTACTGAGAGATGCTTAATGCTATAAGATAATGAGTTCATTTTATGATACTTCCCTACTTTTTTTAAAACAAGGCCTACGTGTACACTGTGTGTACATGCACAAATTAACCGAAATTTATTCCGTCTAAATCTGCCCATTTCAAGTGTAAAAATTGATAATTTCAATTCCTTTAAGCAGAAATCAAGAAAGTAAAAAAAAAGAACTTATTTTTTGGAACAAAGAAATTTTGTTGGATAGAGTTTGACATGTCATTCCTCCCCGTAATATTATCCCCGTTTAGGAATCCTTTTCCTAAATGCATTTAATTTCCTTCTGTTTTCAACCAGTCTATACATGGTTATGACATTATCACATCTCTTCATTAACTTAATGTACATCATCATGATCACATCACTTCATTAACCTAACATGATTAAATCTTTCCTTAAAATAATTTTCAACCAAATTTCACGACGATCTCATGATGCGAATGTTTTCCTGACAACATTCATGTTTAGAACTCTAGAGTTTAAAAAAACTATTTATGAAATTGAAATATTAAAACTTTAAAAATACAACTCAACAGTCAAGTTACGTATCTACTGTGTTTATTAGCTTACATGTATTTAGGTTTTACTTTCTTTGATACTGGTCTTTTATATTTGTGAATTTCAGGGTGTCTTTTGGAATATTACCATTTTTTTGGTATTTGGTCTTCTGGCCATATTTGGTATGAATGTGAGCTATAACCACTGGTATAAAGCCAAAATGACTGGCTAGAAACAAAATGCATACAAAACGTTTGGGAGAAAACAACTGGAAATCAGAACAAGCATAAGTACTTTTCAGAAAATCTCTAGAGAGGATGACAGAGCTAGGAAAGCAGCCCACCAATCTCCAGCTTCTTCTGAGGCTTTAGGAATGCCTCCACTAGACAACTAATGTTGTACATCACTATCACTTACCATATATGTGTACTTGTAACTCCGTCACTGTTCTTTCCAGAGCTGCTTAATCTATTTGCCATTGTCATTTGAAAAGCTTGAACTTCTTGAAGTGTTTCTGTACTTGTTCTTTTGGGTATGGTTTGGCTGCAATACATGTTGCAATATTCTCAGGCTGCTCAATCCATAACGTATGGTCAATGTGAGATGCAGTCAGTTCTGTAGATAGAGTCCTTAAACTGTCTTCATTCTGTGCCTGGCAAGTGAAATAAAAATAGAGTAACATAACATCGCCATTTAATTCTAAAAACTTTGTAAGCCACTTGGCGATAATTTTAAATGACATGTAAATGTAGGATGTCGAAAGGCTGCCTTTCTATACTTGCATTTTTTTTGGGTATGTTCCATATGTACGTACTACATTTCACTCTTGTACAAATGCATATGGCGTGACGCACACTGAAAAACGCATCTATGGAAAGGCATCTTGATGTGTAATTTTACAGCACTATGTAGTGTGCACATAGTGAATGTTTTTACATTACATGTATGTGGAAATTGTGGATGCAGTCAGAGGAGTGGGAGCTAATGTATATGTCCATGTGCGTGAATGCATTTGAGCAGCAATGGACTGTACATGTGCACATGTGCATGCATAATGCCTCCTCTATAAATGACAGAGTCTATCTAACACTAGGGAACACCTGTTGCCGCAGTCATGCTGCCACCAACCCCAAAACACCCAGCATACGGATACATGCGTGCATCTTTGTGTACAGTGCATGTACTTGTTTAGTCCAGAAGGGGCCATTCACATGATGAAATACTACGGTGAAAGATGTCACTGACGATGTATGCCTTTTGTAATTGGAATGAGAGTACATGTACATGTGGTGATGAGATTATTACTGTATTGCACATGTGGATTGTTAAATATCAAATGACATGTGGTTGAACTACGGGCCTCGAGCTGCACCAAGAGAGGGCTCCATTGTCTCAGCTACGGGGGCTCCTTTGGACAGAACTGAAATTTGCTGGTTCACGAACCACAAGGAAATGCACGCGTTACGTTTGCCCCAAAACAAATTGAACACTCCCGACCAACGTGGCTCTTTTCGACCGAGGGGAGATTCTGCTCGAGGCAGATACCGGTAGTTCACACCCTGACATTTCCATAGTTGTGGAAACCACGCACATGTGAAAGAACGAGAGGGGCCCCACATTTATCCTGACCAAATAAAAATTCCCCTTCATGTGGTGCCGTCCGGGTACGTAGTGTTTTAGTTATTAAGGAATGTTGTTGCACGACCTGTACATATTCACTTCACCATCTCTTGTTCAGAAGGGAGCCTCGACGACAACAAACAATGGTACAAAGTTTCTGTGGATGTCTCAAAGGAGCATCATATGACACGAACAGAGGGCTCAAAGTAAAGCAAAATTTGCCCAAATTCTGAGATCTCAGTATGTACAGGCAGCACAAAATCTGACCCAGTCTGCAACAATGTGATCAATACTGCATAGTGCATATTTTCACTTAATAAATTATTTGTGAAGAATGTACATTTAGAGATGGATTTGGCGCTATATAAGATTATTTTTATTATTATTTATTATTATTATTATAAAGGTTTTGCTAAATTATCCAAATTTATATGCAGTTCTGTTGAACAGATACAGAACTTTCTTTTGTACAGCTGTTATATTTTGGTTGTTTGGTAGTTTTAGTGTTTTCCTCATTGTTAAGATAATCACAAAATAAGGCATACATTGTAACAATGACTTCATATCAACCATTAAATGTGCATGTACAGTGACTCAATTACATGTTTCACATCTGACTCATTTTGAGGGGCTCTGCTAAACCACATTCAACAAGGAATGCTACCTACAAGGACTACTTTTCTCTAATTCAATTAATTGATCAATGTGTTGGTTATTGAATACACTTTTCTGTTTGGTTAATGCAAGGCCAGTTTATTAAAAAAGGGATTCTTTTCTAAAGATGCAAAGGAAAGACCTAAAATATCTCAAACCAAAAACCTCAAACGAAAAGCATTTTATGCAGTTCTGGGCAATAAACCACTGCTACATGTAGGAACAAATGTTCTTGTATCAGCAATATCATTTTCAACTGCTTAGGTCTGTGCCAGGTACCGGCACCCTCCCATTGATCTACCATGTGCCTAATACATTGAGTTGGAAGTTGCCAGAGCCACCTTTCAGATAAAGACTTGGAAAAGAACAATGTTGATCAATAGAAATTCTCAACATTTTGCATCCATGTACAGTGGAATATCACTATACCGAACACAGCTACATGTATACCGAACATTCAGCTGTACCGAACATCGTCCTTGGCTCCCAATATTTTGTGCACAAAACCTACCGAACATTATGCAGTAGCAAATCAAGCGAGATTTGCCACAGCAAGCATCAGAGATCAATCCTGAGCAGTAGCTTCACGACTTTTAGGAAAAAGTAAATATCAATTTTGTAACTTCAGATTTAATAAAAAACAAAAATAATTAACAGATACATTTCTAGAGACCTCAAATGTGAATGCAACGGCAAAACATCACGAAAACAGCGAATTATAGTGTCACAAGAGATCACTTCAGTTAGACAAGAGGGGGAGCTATTCGACATAGCAATGAAACGTTCAGCAGTAAATTTTGCTATACCGAATGACTGCTGTACCGAATATTTAGCGTGGACCCGTCCTGTTCGTTACAGTGGCGTTCCACCATAGTGTCCATTTTAATCAGGATGGTAGGCCAAGTTACTTATTAAAAGAAAGAGCTCAGTTCTGCCTTCACCCCTACTAAATCAACCTACTGGGAAAATGGCCTCAAGACTCCTTTTTAGGATACAGTCACACATGATAGAGTCTACACACGAGGACACTTACCTCCAAGACTACTTTATGCATACTCTCCAATTGTGATGTGTATAAGTGGACATTTTCATCATCTCGAAATTGGTGCAAGACGGCAGTGCATGCATGGCAAGCCTGAGAAAGAGAACAATGTTAGCTTCAAGTGATGTGTGTCAATCTATGGTGTGCTGCAAGCATGCAATGCAGAGACACATTATACAATTGTAGCCTGATCCGTAGGGGTCCATGGTGTTTTGTACAACCCATGGACCCAGTCACAACAGGAAACAACTGTTTTGTTGAACCACGGTCACAGATTTAACAATATGCAGCAGAACAGAGTGAAGTACATTTTACTGTGAAGCAATGCATGTATAATTCACTTCTGACCCATGATGACCGTATTTCTTCGTGCTGTGCTGGCTTGTACAAAAATCAAATCCTGATCTCCACTTTGCAACAAGAGAAAAATCTCTTTGAGGGTGACCTGCTGTCATCTACGTTACCATTACAGAGAAATTATGCCAAAATTGGCCCAGTTAAAAAGAATGAACGAATGTTTCAAGAAAAATGGCGGTCATACGACAGCAGAAATAGCTATTTTAGTATCCCCCACTGCAGATCTCAAGTATGAATTAGCATAACACTAGTCTTACTGTTTTGGCCAGTGTTTTGGCCTTTTGTTTTCCTGTCACCCTCAGATGAAAGCTGCACTGTGATTGGTCCAATTTGCTTCCATTCCAATGACCAATCACAGCTCAGCTATCACTTGGATGGGGTCTGGAAAACAAAAGGAAAAGACAGGAGCTGTGTTGTGATTAGTCAAGCTATCACACAGCTGACAGTCACTGAGAGTACATGCTGCTGATTTTCTGTAGTGTGGGTGGGCAAAATGCTCTCAAGAATTTCACAATTTTATCCATGAGGACATACATGTACATGTAAGGTGAATAAACCTCCCCATCTGACATCTAACTTCACCAAGAAGGCATGTACAAGTATGAAATTTGGAAGGGTAAGTTGGCACAATTAAGCCAAAAGTGCAACAGTTTTTTAAAAGTGATATTGAGCCATTTCATGCAACAGCGTCATTAGAAGTGAGTATTGTTCCTTGAAGTTGACATATCATAAACTGAGCTCTATCGACACCATTAAGCCCTACTAAATTCTACACGATTTGAATATCAACTGGACATTTGATTAAGCAATGTAGTGCTGTGACAGAATCAAATCACAGCAAACCTGATTTTTAAGTTCGTGAATCTGGCTTTACAAAACTTTTGCAAGCTAATGACTATCACAGAGGCCTTTAGTTCAATGCTGACTCCACATTGTGTTTCACATTCTTGTGAAAACCCTGATTGCAAAATCATGATTTTGTTTTGCACGAAGAGAGGAAATAAACGAATCGTCACTGTTCGAAAAAGGCTGCTGCATATTTGATTAGGCCTACATAAAGATCATTGACTCACAAAATAATCCATCAAACGTCTCGTTTCCATCACAAAAGCTCATGGGGTTCCAGTGTACGATCCTGAACAATAAGCCAAACTAAGTTGAGGAAGAAAACATACATGGGGCATGCCTTAGTATTCCTCTTTTTCGATTTTGGACCCTCCAAAATCAAAAAAGAGGAGACGCTCCACTCAGTATAAATAGTACGACTAGCCGTGCTGGAGCTGGTAGCGGCCTACCAAAAGTACCGGTACCATACCTACCTGCGCGATCACGGCACCAGTTGGCCACTTCAAAACGTGCAAAAGATCTCTCCGTACAACAACATACTGTACAAAGGCTGACATTATTACTCATCGGAATATATTACTGGTATGTGTCAAACCATATGTTATTACTCCATGATTTGTACGACACCGTCGAGGAACTAATGACTAAATGCACAGACGTGTGACTGGCACACGTACACACGACCATCAGAAATCACGGCCCTTCGGCGCGGCAGTGGTCCGGCTCGTGCAAATTAATCTCAGCCTGGTAAACGCGGCAGTACAGTGACCCTGCTGTAAATGAGTGAGTCCGGTGCAGTGGTGTAAAGAGATCCGAAGAACATTTTTTTAACATCGCGCGAGGGCGCAGCGCCAAAGACGCTGCTCTGCTTGCCGGCTGCAGAGAGGGCGTTATGAGCAAAAGTCACCCGCCGATCGTTCAACTTGGGTTCAGTTTCTGACAAACTGACTCATAACGGCCAGCTGGCGGTATGTTTGATACTCTTGATTGTGACAAACCAAGTGAAAGCGACACCACGTACGAGTGGCGAAGTTTTGCCAGTTTTCATTGAACTTAAACAAAAATGCTCAATTGAATGAACCCCAACCACTTATAAGTTGACTCGGACAGCCTGTCATGTTGCCATTTTCCCCCCTTATTACCTTTGTTTTGTGTCCTTGTGTTTTTTAGGAGCGAGTTCTATATACGGACGCCAGCAATTATTCCCTACAGTGACCTAAAAGCCGTCAGAAAGCAAAAACATTTCCATAAAAATGCAATACTTAAAAACACTTGGGTTTTTTTCAGACCAGTCCCATGGGGTTTGTGCGCAGGGCGTCATGTGTATACGGAACTCCTTCCTTTTATTTTTAAACATTCAATGAGCTGAACCCATGCTGTTGAGAGAATTACTTCCATGGACGGGCCAACATCAACTGTTACTATCGCACCACAGGGGGGGTGTTTTAATGACGTATCAAGGGTTTTTTTTTTGGGGGGGTGAAATTTCTTGTTTTTATATAACGACCGTCTTAAATTTTCAGCCATAACCCCAAGAGAAAAATCTGGTGCCGCTTCCAAAATACCGGCGCTTTCCATTCCAACCCCCGTAGTACACCACTTCAGGTATTTACAGACGTTCTTATGGTCGGAAAAAAGTATGCCCTTTAACTTGTCATGCAGGGGGCATGAAGATCGAGGTCTGAGTGTTCTAACCATGCAATGGTCCGTTTGTCCGAAGGTGGGTAGTTTGTAACATACATAAGAGGGCAGTTTGACGCACTTGGCCGCATTTCCCACCATTTTGTTCCAAAATACGCTCAGTGTGCAAGGGATACTGTGGCTAAAGGAGACCCACTGACAATTGGGGACGACTAGGTCTTAGACGTTATCGTAAAATCAGTCGACAGTTGCTGTCAAGATCCTTTAAACTGATATATTTTAATCTAATATAGGCCTGTAAATCAAGTGTGTATTTCATTCCAATAATTCACACAATTTTTGGGGGCCAATCTTAAAACTGAAATCCAAGAAATTTGAAACAACTACTTCACAGATGAAGCAGCAGTCAATGATGTTGATTTGCAAAATTCTCTTTTATTCCTGTCAGTTTAACTTGCTTTATCACGGTTGAACATAGATGGCTTCATTTCTTGCAATTGGTTTGACCATGGAGGAATGACACAGAAGGAGTTGTAACTAAGGCACTTCAAAGCGTCCAATGATGGTCGCCGCCGAGTCTGACGAATAATAGAAAACATTCCAAAAATGCCTTATTGCTGCCTGCATCTTAGCCAGACAAGCGGGGCCAGTAATATCCTGGCAAGACTTGTAGTTTTTTGCTTGCAATTAAATACAAACTGTCGATGTGACCAGGAAATAGAGAGAGAAAACTTCCTGATATTAGACCTACTTTTGCCATCATAAATAAACTTTTCAAATTTTGACACACTGTTTCATTATCCATGCAAAGTTTGTAATTCTGGTCTCCTCCGTCCAATATATATCAGTATCAAAGACTTGGAACGAATTTGGCTAAGACTGGCCAACAAAATGTTCACTACTTCTGGAAAGCTTAGTTCATTAGCAACAAAATGCGCTATTTCATCACAAGGAGTGATCGCGAAATCTCATAAAATACGCCTTTGTACAACTGCCATAATAAAAATGATTCAAACAAAACACAAAATCTTACAAACAGCTTGGCTATTTATTCCTAAAAGAAGTCCAGAAGAAAGCGTTCGATAAGGGCAACAACTGCACATGAACACTTTGGGTATACAGCCTGAAAGCAACTGCGCAAACACTACATTTGATGATGTTGTCGGTTCATATCAAGCACCAACGATGGTATGAATATTCAACTTCCTACACTGCAGTACACAACGTTTTAGGGATACAGATTACCAACGAAAAATTGCGGCGACGATCATGGGGTACAAAGGGAGCTTATGGTTGCAAAACAGGTGGTGGGTAGCAGGCGTGCGCTGCGCTCTGGCTATGGACATACCGGGCATGCCAGAAAGTGGTAATCGGCCAGATGTTATAGTCTGGGCAGTTCAAACTCCTTCTGTGTCCTTCCTCCATGGGTTGACAATAATTTAAAAGCCAACACTCTTCAACGTTAATAACCACACGATTCAATAGAAATAATATCAATTGAAAAAAAAACACACACAAGAGGCATGACTATATGCTGAACACATGCCGAACACCATCATGTTTGACTGGTTCACTTCTGTACCTTTATGCATAATTATTTTCACCGCTTGTTCGATTCAACGAGAATTTCAAAAAGGTTAATCTTTTTACAACACTGCATAAGTGCTGCTAAACTATCAGTTTCTTTTAACCAAAGACAACAATAATAAATATGATTTTTTACAGACATCGTTCACTCTAGATCTCAGTGAACTACAATCGAGTGTCTTCAATGACGCCACTCTAGATCCAATTTCAGTACACGTACTTGTGTTCCTACAAGCAGACAGTGCACAAATTGACGACCATCAATTGGCGGCGCTCTCCGTTTGGAAACATGCCGTCAATTGTTACCACGCAGTCTTTCCCATCCATCTTGAAAAAGCTGGACCGGTACGGAACAACGGCGGTCAGATCGGATTCCGAAACTGTGGCAGTGAAATAACAAAATAATAATGAACAAGAACGGCAATGTTGACCTAAAATGTAATGGCTTCAACTTGACCCACAAACGTTTTAAACCATTGTGGTGTTTCACCTTCTGTCTTTTGAAAGTCGAGTACTGCGTCGTCATTTTCGTCTTCAACTCGGACGACGAATTCCCTTCTTCCTTCAGAGTATCCTATGTAAGCATCTGTAAAAGAAATTGCAAATATAAACAAAACTTGAGTCCAGTCAAAGTGAAGGACCACCGGAGCCTTCTTTATTAATTTATTGTAATTATACCTAACGATGATTCTAGCTTCGACAACGTTCGAGCCCCAAAGATTCGGCACGATGATTAAAAATGCATAAATGCGGCAATATCATGGGAGATGTCAGGAGGAAGTTCTGCCCTGCTCCTTCGGAATAAAAACAGATTACTTACAATATTCAGCTTCGGTGTTGAGTTCCACATAAAAGTTCGCACCGGTACAAACGTTGGGTTCTTGACAAACTGCATGGTGACACAAACGAATGAAGACAAATGTCATAAAGATAACAATCCAAGAAATACTAAAGTCTTTATCTCAGAGAGAGAGAGAAAATCAACCCAGTTTTGACCAAATGAACTACAGAATGCAAACGCCATCTTGCCATCCGCATGGTTGACCGACTCGTGAAAAGAATGCCTAGTTCTTTGCCGATAAGCTTTAAGTCAATGTTTACTTACATTTGCACATTTGGCAGTCTTCTTTATGTTTCAGAATTCTGGTGATCAACTCTTCGATAGAGAGGGATTTCTCAAGAGGAGTATCGCTTTCCATCTGTAATTAAAAAGTACTAAACAGTCTGACGTTAAGAAATGCAGATACTTAGTACACCGTATAGGCATGTGCAACTAGGCCTAGTTCCCCTTGGCTGTTTGAACTGCAGCAACGTTTTCAGGAGTTCGCACTCTTTCCCCCTTTTCCCTTCCCGCCTCTTTCCCGAATGACCCTTATTCAAATTAAGGCTTGTCCCATGTTCTCGGTATCTGCCCACATTTTCCCAGATGGTCGACTTTGCCAGTGCATCCCTATCAGGGAAGGCTTCCTTAAATGCAGCTTGGGTGGCTTGAAAGCTCTTGTTTTCAAGAAATTTAGTTACGACAAACACTGTTTGCTCTTCGGTAAGTTGCACCATGTTGCAGACTTTTCAATACTGCACTCGGGGAAGTCAACACATTTAAACCAGATTACTGCATAACTTGAAAGTGACAAAAGGCAATCTTCCCTCATTAATATGACCTTTTGTAGTCATTTTCAACTCCGACAAGCATGACAAAGAACAACCTCATTCACTGGTTTATCCAAAGTGTTACAACTGGGTTCGGATGCCCCATTTTCAAGA